CACATTGTCAAAAGCTTGACTGATGCGAAGAACTAACAAAACATTCCTTTCTAGCATGGCGGCTCGCAGATATCGAATATGCAGAAGACAAGTATCGAGAATGGGAAGGTAATCTCTTTGACGGTAAAGTGGACATGTGGAGGCGAGAAACATGTTTCTGTTGGTCTTTCTGGTCATTGAATATCCCTGTTCCAGACTTGGAAAGTAGTGATGCGCTGCTTGTGAGGGCCGTCGATGAAGCCTTGGCAACTCAGCCACGAGATATGTACTGGTCGGTCTTGGGTATGATGAACAACCCATGGTTTCGAGTGACAATCACGAGAGATGGCAATTCGCTGAAGTTCGAACATCCTACACATCCAGCGAGAAGTGGTGGGTGGATGGAAAAAGCGAAAAAGGCTGGTGGAGATCTGCTCAATGGTAATTGGGGCGAGCGACATGAAGGCGAAAAGCCCCTCGAGCCGGAACCTGTGAAGGAGATAAATATGAAGAAAGAAGGAATGAATCGCCAGATCGATCTTCAAGAATTAAAAGAAAACAGCAGCAGTGAGAAGCCTTGGTTTGTGGTCAATGGAGAGGTGTATGATGGCACAGGATTCCTGGAAGGACATCCTGGCGGAGCGATCAGCATCACCTCATCCGCGGGACTTGATGTTTCGGAGGACTTCAATGCAATTCGTGAGTCTGTTGACGATTTTTACTCCTGACCAGCATTCTAACTTGTAATGCAGACAGCGAAACTGCCAAATTAATGATGCCGGATTATCACATCGGCACCCTGGATAAGGCATCTCTAGAGGCCCTGAATAGCAGTGACACGGCTGTTTCAAATGAGCCACGCCCACACTTCCTTCAGTCAAGAGCCTGGTCCAAAATGACATTGGTCGAGAAAAACGATGTCTCTTGGGACACCCAAATATTTGTCTTCGAATTGGAGCACGATAAGCAAACGTTGGGGCTACCGATTGGCCAGCACTTGATGATCAAAGTGCAAGATCCAGAAAACAAGAAAGAAGCAATCATCCGCTCATATACACCGATTTCTGAAACGAATATGGAAGGGCGTATGGAGCTACTTGTCAAGATTTATTTCCCGACTTCGAATATTCCAGGTGGCAAGATGACCATGGCACTCGACACGCTGTCTTTGGGATCTCAAATCGACTGCAAGGGTCCGACCGGTCGGTTTGAATATCTTGGAAACGGACGAGTCTTGATCAGCGGGAAAGAGAGGAATCTTCGCTCTTTTAAGATGATTTGTGGCGGAACGGGTATCACTCCAGTGTTTCAAGTTCTCCGTGCTGTCATGCAAGACACTCAAGATCCCACCACTTGCGTGGTATTGGATGGTAATCGCTTGGAGGAAGATATTCTCTGCCGATCTGAGCTTGACGACTATGTTGCAGAAGACAATATGAAATGTACCGTTGTTCATACTTTGTCCAAGCCATCCGATTCCTGGAAAGGTCGTCGGGGTCGAATTTCCGAGGACCTGCTGAAAGAGTTTGCTGCTCCAGAAGAAGCCAGCATGGTTCTTCTTTGTGGACCCGAAGCATTAGAGAAATCTGCGAAGAAAATCCTCCTTGCCCAGGGTTGGTCAGAAGCGGGTTTGCATTTCTTTTAATAGCCCACTGGGCAGTCTGATGTTAAGCATTGAAAGGAGTTTCTAAAGGTTGTTGGGATTTAGACCGAGACATTTTTGTTTACAGCGATAGAGAACATGAAGCGACGGGGTATGAGTAGACATGTCATTGTTTTTGTAAAGATCATAAGTTTGCTTGGTCGTTAATCGTGAATTCTCATAATTTATAGTCGTGAAACTCTTGTTTTACACTTTAGTAGTAATCCCTCACCTCCAGCCTGATTCGGAGATGCTCGAAAACACTAGTAGGCTCATTCTGTAGGGAGAAGGATGCCCCTGAGTTTGACATGGACTTCGAGGAGGTCGTCCCGGTGTCTAGTCCTCGTAAATAGCCAACAAAAGTGGAAGTTTGTTTTTTGAACACGCTGTACAAGTGGTGCACGGTGCCTTCATTTCCATGGCGAAGCCCGCTCAAGCCATCGGCTTTTGACAGCGAACTAAAGGCAAGGATTGTGCCAAAGATGCCGTCAAGCAATTTCGCAGCCGGGGCATGTCGCTTGCTAAGGAAGAGTGCAAACAACATTTGGTCTAGGATGTCGACGTGGAAGTGACGAAGATGAGTGATAGAATGGGCAGTTTCGATTGTACCATCAATGTCGTCGCGATCAAGACAACGTTCAATTTTGGCAAGTGTCTCTTGGAAGCGCCTCCAGGTAGAGCCGACCCCGATATGGAAGCAATAATCGCTAACCGCAAGGACGAAGTGTTGAGCATCAATTCGGAACTTTTGGAATACATTTCGTATGTCCCCTGCAAGGGAATTTCGGGCAGTGGAATCACGGATCAGTCCTTTGACAACCGTTACCATTCGGATAAGACGTAACAAGTGTTTGAATAGGCGATCATATTTTTCCAGGGATCTCGGGGTAATGAGGGCCTCGAGGGTCTCGGGGGGTTTATATTGAAGTCGAAGAAAATCCAAAGCCTCAATTGCGTTAGGATCCTGACATCGCTTGATTTCTTCGGGTGTCAGGTCTCGAATCGAGAAGCTCAGTCCTCCCGGGAGCTCGTTGTCTCTCAATTGCGCGTTCTCTGGGTCTTCAGGCTCGGTATCTCCAAAATAACAATCACCGAGAAGACCAATCAAGACCAATCGCAGCTCGGAGCTGGCTGGAGGCCAGGTTTCACGATTTCCTAACCTCAGCCCAGTATGGACGCCACTTCGCACCACGCCGGCCTTGCGCTCTCCGCTCTCCATTTCAGGCGCAAACAGAGAACTTGTGAGACGGGCAGTGAAGGAACCATCACCTAGTAACTGAAATCGCCATTGCATGTTGAGATGGTGGCGCAATTTGTGTTCTTTGAAAAGATGATGAAGGCAGGAGAAATCGATCAGCTGTGCCTGTGATGATACCACAGGTGCAAGCGATAAGTAAAGCGCAGATTTCAAGTCTGGGCCGAATCGGTGAACAGTATTGAGAGGATCAGAATCAAGGTTCCTGGCTTTTTGAAGCATCTGGTCGACATTTTCATTCGCAAATGCAGCGCGATCCATCGCGGAAGACGAGACACGCTCCTTGTCGTCAATGTCGAATAGCTGGAAGGTCTTTTCGGTGACCTCCTCCGGGCTATCATCGGCTTTTTGCGGAAAGGGCAAATTATTCATCGACTGTATCGACTGTATCGACGATTCACCCTTGTGGTATTTCAAGATCTCCGCTCGAAGTTTTGATTCATATTCGTCGGCTCTTGTTTGAATTCGCTCGATATCTGTCCAAGCGGTCGCACACTGTAGATTTAGATTGCCAGCCCTAGCGAGGGCATCATGTCTGGCAAGAGGATGGTGAGGATGTGATTTCTTGAGTAGGCGTAAACTACTCCCACTTTCAAAGATCAACTCTGCTTGCTCGTGGGGAATGAACGAGGGCATGTGGTGTTCACGATAACTGTATTCAAAGCGCGTCGGCGCGTTCCTGAACTTGTTGGGATCGTCATAGCGGTCGAGCTGAACGAAGGTTCTGCCGCTAGCTAACAGCTCATTAAGAGATGCATCATCGGGCCGGAGACCGATCCAGCCCTCAATGAAACCAAGCCAAGGAACCGTTATCTGAACCACGATTTCGTGCAAAAGGTTCTCCATCCATCCAAATTTATGGGCGAAGTATGCCGCCCGATCTATCACTGCGGAAATAATTTCGGAATCCGATGAAGCCTTTTCCACGGCAGCGACAATGTCAGCCAAGGCTCCTAGCAACTCCCGACATCGATCAAATAGCATGGCAACCTGCAGGACCGACACGACGTTGCTGCAATTGGCCAGAACTTGTTTCTCGAGGTTAAATAATATGACGGCCATAGCACCTCGTAGAGTAAATATAGAGGATAAACTCTTAGACTTTGTCACTGGAGCTTTTGCAAAGGCACGAACCCACTGCATAAGTGTACCGCACTGCAGCACCTCGGAGACGACACTATCCATAACCGCGGAAGACAGTCCGGAGACCCTAATATTTGTTATGGATTTTTCGAATAATTTGTTCCCCTTGTTATACCGGAAGAACAAGGAGTTCCATCCCAGCCCAAGGCGCAGCAGAGATTGAATGAAAATGTCATCTCGAACAAGGCGGGTGGAAGTGTGAGCTTTTGCTTGCTCTTGGTGTGAAATTGCAGCATCGAAGCCCTTGGCACCCGATTCACTGAAATATGCGGAAATGGGCTCATCGAACGCGCGATCCTGGTATTTCTCCCAGGATTTCAATGGAGCGATGTAACCAGGGTCCTGCTGTAGGTGTTTCAATGACCACAAATCATCATCTTCTTGTGCTGCATCCTGCACTGATTCACTTGGTGCTTCAGACAGGTTGTCTAATGAATGATCGAGGCTAGAGTCCGCGGACTCTGAAGGTTGGAGGTCGTTCGTGAAGAGGTTGAGCTTCCATATCGGATCGATCTTCTCGGTCGAGTCTGGTACACCTTGAAAGCAAGCCTTTGGGATGGCTGCAAACACGATGAATCAGCAATTGGTAATCCACTCGCTCCAATTGTTTGAGCCGCATACGTACCTGGCAAGTCCGCGTTCCATGGAAGAGACTCCAAGGGCTGTAGAGCCTCTATGCTGAACCTAGAGAGCCTCCAGAGGCTTTCACTAGAAAAAGGATCAGGATCATAGTCACCTATATCCATCGTGAGTCCATCACCAGAGCGGGCACCAGCAAAATGTTGAACGGGTTTATTTTGGGAGGTGAAGCGCGAATGTCGAAAGGTCAACAGCCCAACCCAGCGGAGTCCCGCGATGCGCCTGCCTATCGCGTGCACGGGCCAACTCGATAACAAAAGGCGACGGCGGCGTCTCTTCACTCCGCGCTCGTCATGACACTTCCCCCCCTCGTCGCCTTTTTACCCCAATTCCGATCGCACAATGCCTCCTCGTAAGAAAACGAAGCGCGCACATTCCAACTCTCCCCTTGAAGATACCGCGCCACTATCCAGCGCCAACACACCCGGTTCGAGCGACAGCGCCGAGAAGCCCGATGAACCCGAGTACGACCTGATCAGTGACCCTTGGACGGACGAGCAAGAAACTGCACTTTTGAAGGCAATTATAAAATGGAAGCCAGTCGGTAAGCTTCAATGGATCGCGATCTACGCGTGGGCCATGGTGGGAGCTCTTGACTGACGTATGACCTCGTCCCATTTTCAGGCGTACATAAGCATTTTCGCATGCTCGCGATCTCAGAATACTTGCGGAGTCAAGGGTATGCACCATATAATGCTGATCATATGCGCATTCCCGGAATATGGAAGAAATTGGGCTCCTTGTACAACCTCGAAGCTCTCGATGAACGGGTATTCTACAGCCGCTATACACACATGTACCTGACGCAAGCTTTGCTAATCCTGTATTCGTTGACTAGGAGGATTCTGTTATCACCGATGCGAACGAAGATGATGAAGAACCGAGTGAAATGTACTGCCCGTTCGAGCTTCCGTACGATGAATACGGCGACATGATGTTCGAGAAACGACTCGCCCTGGAGGGTTCTTCTTCACCCATCACCAGTCCCCATCCTGAATCCAGACGAGGAAGCACCGTCGCTGACACAGATGGTAAGACTAAACCCCCACCAGCAAGACCGTGATCTAGGAAGTTAACTCAATTGATTGACAGAGCCACGCTCCTCACCCGCACCCTCACGAGGTCGCAAATCAGACCGCGGTACTCGCCAAGCCGGACGAGCAACACGATCTACCAGGCTACAGGTGGAAATTGGAACTGATAGCCAAGGGAAGGCCTCCGACGAAGATATGGAGGATGCTGAGTCTGCCGAAGAATCAGCTGCCAACGATGAGGAGGGTGAGGCCGAGGGCGAAGGTGAAGGCGAGGGCGACGGTGAGGAGGAGGAAGAGGAGGATGAAGAAGGTTCGGACGGGGAAAGGACAGTGATGGTGACGAAGGGGAGGACAGTGAAGGAAAAAGCGGATCACGAAGCACCCGGGCAAAGACTTCAAGATCCAAGCAAAAGGACAAGAAAACTCCGAGCACAGGAACGCGCAGGACCGCTCGTCGCCGCTGATATGAGGTGATCTCTCTTTTTGCATTCGGTTTTCTACCAGCTTTGATACCTTCGGACTTATGGATTGGCGTTGGATATCTCTTTTTGTCTTGTTTTATATCGAGCGCTGTACTAATAGTATGCGTGGAGGCCATCTATAAATCTTATCATCACCATTTGATGAATTACTCGAAAATCGAGAGAACTATGCGCAAAAAAGTAGGATTGACCACCTAGGTACACAAATAGGGATATTTCGATCGCTATAGGAAGTCTAATGTCGTTCGAGGAGGGTACAAAAAAATAGATCAGAGGGTCATAGTACAAAAATTCCGAGTAGCGACAAGCTTACAGACGCTTCATGATGGCGTCAGCGTACTCGTGGGTCTTGGCCTTACCACCAAGGTCACCAGTAAGGGCCTAAAAGGGAAAATTAGCATGGTTCTAATCCGGTTCTTGGTTAGAGGCAAAAAAGCTCACCTTGCCCTCAGCCAGGGTGTCGAAGATAGCCTTCTGGATGCGGTTGGCGTGGTCGTGGAGACCCATGTGCTGCAGCATCATGATACTGCTCAGGAGCAGGGCAGTGGGGTTGGCAAGGCCCTGGCCAGCAATATCGGGGGCGGAACCGTGGACGGCCTCGAAGATGGAGCACTCGTCACCAATGTTACCGGAGGGAGTCAGACCAAGACCACCGATCAGACCGGCGCACATGTCGGACAGAATGTCACCGTACAGGTTGGGCATGACAAGAACCTTGTCGTTGTAGGGGGTGGGGTCGGTGACGATCTTCAGGCACGAGTTGTCCAGCAGCTCAGCGTCGAACTCAACACCGGGGAAGTCCTTGGAGATGTCGCGGGCAGTGTTGAGGAACAGACCGTCGGACATCTTCATGATAGTAGCCTTGTGCACAACACGGACCTTCTTCTTGTTGATGGACTCTGCGTACTGGAAAGCGAAACGCAGGACGCGCTCGGAGGCCTCCTTGGTGATGAGCTTGATGCTCTGCACAACACCGTCGACAACAACGTGCTCAATGCCGGAATATTCACCCTCGGTGTTCTCACGGATCAGGACAGTGTCGACACCGTCGTAGGGGGTCTTGTAGCCGGCGATAGAGCGGCAGGGACGGACGTTGGCGAACAGGTTGAAGGTACGGCGCAGAGTCAGGTTCAGGGAGACGTGACCTTACCGACGGGGGTCTAGGGAGCAGAGATCAGTATGGGATGGCGAGCCGATGCGACAAGTCGAGGTTGGCACGTACAGCCAGGGGACCCTTGAGGGCAACGTAGTTCTTCTTGACGCTAGCAATGGCATCGTCGGGAATGGCGGTCTTGCCGTCCTTCAGAATGGGACCGACATCGACGGGCTCCCACTTGATGGGGGCCTGTGAACCAACTTAGTATCGCGTTTATATCGCGAGATCGAGTTTGCGACGGATCGTTACCTTGGCGGCCTCGAAAATATCCTTCACGGACTGAGCAATCTCAGGACCGATACCATCACCCTCAATCATAGTGACAGTGTACTTGCCCTACATATCCAAGAAGAGAGTGTCAGTTTTATCGCGATCGTGTTTTGGCATTCGGTGCGGAGGATTTGGCCGTGAGAGGTCCAGCGCGGCTGGCGGCGGCCCAGAGGAGGAAAAAACGAGATTGGCGGTGTTCACATACATCAGGACCCTTCTGGCCCTTGAACTTGGCGACGGCATCGTCGGCGGGAGCAGCGAAGCCACGGATCTAAACCGCAATTATCAGAGTTAGTCGAATTGGAGAGTCTTTTGGTGGTAAGGGGATGTAGGAATTTGAGAGGGGGCTGGTAAGTACCTGCGAGACGGGGGCCACGAAGCTGGGGGTCACACGGACGGACCGCAGGCACTGGCGAGCAGCAGAGAAGTTTCTGGCGGCGAGCATCGTGAACAGATCCCGTCAGGTATGAGGGTCTAAGGAATTGATGGTGGGGGGGGTATCGGGGGGGAGAGGGAAGAAGGGAAGAGAGAGAAGTGAAAACGTTTAGTCTCGGCGCCCGCCCGATCCGACCGGGACGCAGACCGCATTGGTGGTTTGATGTCCCCGGCTACCCGAGTGGAAGTGTAGGGTCCACTTGCCATGTTCACCAACACTGGCACATGGTACAAGTCTGTTATCAATCTAATGGTGATCTCAGTACATACTAGTAGTGCATAGTATTACTACTACTATTAGTAGTAGGTCAACTTATATCCTACTTGTAGTACTTATATACCATGTATACGATAGTGCCAGTGGATACTGATATCCTTTTACTATAGTACTACTATACTAATAATAATACCACCCGTAGTAATATGTCTCATTAGGTACTATCAGTGATCTAGTGTGGACCTGGTATCCGATGTTTTCCATTTTTGTTAAACCTGAACTCGATTCCCTTCTCCTGGCACTCAATCTCCACCGACGCATACGTATCGATCGTCGACTGGGGGACTCCTACGCAGTCCACCCACAAGACATAATTCCCGGGGGGTTTTCGGTACAATTGTTTGGGCTGTACTTCGAGTATTTTGAGATTTGCAAATCGTTTCTCCCGGTGCTTCAGAATATCCCGAAGAACCTCGATGATCACCGAGAAGTCTTGCTCTCGACAGTCAGCCAAGTGAAGATGCTCTAGGCTTGCTGGAAGGATATCCGAAGCTCTCACTGTGGGCTTCTCCCTGGAATCGACCTGCAAGAGTGTGGCCCACGGTATTTGAAGCTCGCGCAGTTGATGAAAGTCCATCATCGAGCCGAATGTACCCAATTCAAACCCCTCATCGAAGTCATCCGCATCAAAATACCAAGGATGTTGTCCTCGGTTGTTCAATCGAATCACCCGAAGGCTATGTTTCTGGGTGGACAAAGATGCGTAGAATGCCCCAGGTCGGAAGGGATAATAGGATTCGCCCCAAATTGCCTGGTCATCGTGCTGAAAGTCAAAGCTTTCCAGAGCTTGACACAATTTGACAAAGCCCAGAAACCCGTTCTCGCCATTGCATCTGCTCCAGTGACCGAAACGAAGATTCTTGATTCCAGAGGTCCCGGGCGCTTGCTTTGGATACCCCTGATATGTCCAACTATTCTCTTCGTTGATGGCATTCCCGGTGAAGCTCCGCATCGCCGGAAAAGAAAAGAATGGAAGAAGGTCATCCATCCTGTAAGATGCTTTATTATCGTCTTGCATTATGATCATGACATCTTCCAACTTCTGGAAGACTGGATTCAGGTCAAAGGGCTTTTCTCCGACTGCCGCCCGTGCCACCATAGGCATAGAGTAAGTCGGCGAGCAATGATATCGAAGACGCAGACTTGTCACGTTTTGCAGCGATGGAATGAGCACGGCGATCCATGCATCTGGGCACCCTTGTAGAGCTTTGGTCCACTCCTCGGAGTGCTCCGGAGAATGGCTAGCTTCTTCCACAAGACTTCTAAACATTTCAATATCGTCCATGGACCTATCTCCCCAGAAACTCCAGACAGCATCCAGGTGACGGATGGAACGGCCGATTTTGGGATTTGTTTGGATCGCGCAGACAAGTGGGTAGATCTGATTTTCTTGCACATGGATGTTTCTCCAGGCCGCAGAAAAAAAATAGTGAGTACCAATGGCGGCAGACTCGCAAAAGAGAGGAAATTCCTTTTCGATTATCAAGTCTTGGCGTCAGAACGACGTTGTCGCAGATGAGTAGCAGGATGTCATCGGGTAAGACAGGCATGACCATTTTGGATTGAACTTTCTCATCTACTGATGAGTACAGCAGTGACGGGTGAGGTAATGTAGTGAATTGCAGATTTTCTGGGTTGAGTCCAAACTTCTCATGGGGTCGTTAGCGTTATCTAGGGGCCAGGCCAACATTCAGGCAGGCCTGAGCCTCATCATCCTATAGTTAGGACTCAGTAATGATGATCCATGGCCAACATGGGCAAAAGTTAGAGACTCAGAGTGCCAAAAAATATTCATGCCGCAGTAGAAAGGAATGAAATGCTGCTACCATGGTACTTTACCAGATATGAGATATAGAACTAGGCCAAGTCCATGCAGGGCCATGCAATAAACTAGATTCATTTCCCTTGGCAATGTACACCGCCCCGCATCTCCATCGGGAGGCGGTACCAACAACGTTCCCCATTGATTGCCCCATTCCTCGAGCTCCCCCCCGGTTCCTGTTCAACTTGAACTCGAACACATATACACCCCAGCTCAGTCCAGTCAATCTGGCTACTGGCCACTGGCAATCATGTCAGACCTCGATGTCGCCAATCATTACAACCTTCCCTCCGAATTCCCCAGGAGTGGCCAGCAGCGCTGGATGAGGCCGACCAGTCCGAGGAGGAACCCGTCCAACGAACCAAGTCTCGCCCTCGCAAGTCGCGTTACTTTGCTCTAGAACGCACCCCAAGTGATTGGAGGAGCAACTTTGGATCTCGCCGGGGAAAAGAGAATAGGGAAAATGCTCAGAATGACGAACCCGACCCGCTTGGAGCTGGCGATAGTGTCATGCGCATCCTGAAGCAGAGAGGGCTGCGCATGGAGGATGAAGGGGGTAAACGATCACGGTTCCTGCTCTCCTCAACCTCGTTCTCGCCAGCCCTATTTCTCTCCCAAGCACACCACTCGGACTCCATCGAATCGCTTATCGACGGTCTAGACCACCTGTCGCAATCCATCGATCAGAAGTCAGCTTCCCTGAAGGTACTGGTTGAAGCCAACTTCGAACGCTTCGTCCGTGCCAAAGCAACAATCGACAGTGTATACAAAGAAATGAGAGACCAAGGAGTATCAAAGGAGCAAACATTGTCTGCTCGGCGGTCAGGGCACTTCCGGAGCTATTCGGGTCAACAGCGGGGACCATCGCCTGCTCCTGCCCCGGTAGTGACAGGAACCCGGAAGAATGCGTTAACCAAGGAGAGCGAATATGGTATGAAAGGAATTCGTGGACCATTGGTGGAGGCATCTGTCAAGGCAGAAGAGGTCTGGGGTCCTGCCCTTGGAGGTCGTGATCGAGAGCAGATGTTGAAGTCGGTTGTTGACTCGATGGAGAAACACCGCGATGTCTACGAGATTGGAAGCCATTTATTCAAATCCATCCAGCAACGCGACTATGACTCGGTCTTTGAGCAGTATACTAAAGCTCGAACGTTAGCGAACAGAGCACAGACTATTGTGGAGCAGGCCTCCAGCTCCAATCGACAATTGGCCGACCATGAAGCCCATACTATTTTGGCCATGGGAAGAATGTGGATGGATGTCGATCAGCAGATTCAAGCCTTTAAGCGCGATCTCTGGAGACGACTCAGCGATGCACCGACTACCTCAACTACGAGCACAGCGTCAGGTCCCGTCGAAGAGCATATGGAGCTGATTGGTGCTTTGCTGGAACTGGGTGTCGAAAATAACCCTATCTGGACTTGGCTTCATAGCCGCTATAATTTCCTTAAGCTCAAGATCACTTCTTTCTGTGAGCGGTGCAAAGTTGAGATCGAGATCTTGCGGCGGCGACTTGCCAACGGAGAAAAAGCCAAGCGCAGATGTCACGGCATCATATCTGCGCCTGGCACCTCGCGATGGTCCCTCGGAGTTCCCGGAGAGACTGGATTCAGACCATGTTATTGAGCTGTGGGATTGCATTCAAGCGTTCCTCAGTCGTCTCCTTTCTTCACAAAGTGGACTACTTGGTGAAGCACTTGATTTCTGGGAAGTCACGCAGTCGTTCATTGACGGTAATCGTCAAAGACTCCTTCCTGTCGGGTTTGAAGGAGAGAGTCGAAAGCACCACAAGTTATCCCCTGAGAACGTGCAGGAGCTCGAGAAGGGCATTGTCGAAATCATCAATCTGATTCGACAAAATGTCCTCTCCCTGTTCAACGAACCCCCGACTGAAGATATCTCCCTTCTCTCCTCTCCCATTCCACCGAGCCCAACTAGTCCGGCCTCCAGAGGCATTACTCCGACCGAATCCCGGTTCAAATTGGATCCCAAGAATCTTCCAATTCCAGTGCCCAGGCGAGGAGAACACTGGGAAGACTTTGCATTCTGGCCTCCTTTCTCCAACTCTCTCAGCGGGGTGCACTACCTGAGCAAATTCCTCACAACTGTTGGTACAGCTGCTAGTGAGATGGCAGCGTTGCGTCCCGTGGGAAGCGCGGGTCCCACGCATGATCTTTTGAAGTCGCTTGTGAGCGTTGTTCGAGAGCGTGCGGCACGCGTGGCATGCGATGCATGGAGCAAAGACGCTGAGATTTGCAAGATGCTGGAGGACTGGACGCGCGACTCAGAGAAACGAGACTTGACAAAGATGCCGGGTTTATTTACGGCTTTTGAAGGCGCCATCCTCGGCGGTATGCAGAAGATTTTGTATATATCTGATGCTGCGGCGAAATCTGGATCGGTGGATGTTGTCACTCAACCGCCTGCGAAAATGCTTCAGATGGTCCGCACTCAATTTGTATCGAGTGTCTACAAGGCATTGAGTGGGCTGGTTGAGAACGCAGAACGTCTGGCTGCTTCGGACGAAGAAAATGAATGGGTTATCTCTAGGCCAGTCATGACCAGCCAAGTAATTGATGCTGCTTTGTCCGTCTTGAGTGCCGACTCTGTGGACTCTTCGAACAGGGTAAGTGTATAATGAGAAGTTATGTTCGACCCGTTTTACTAACGTTTCCATGCAGAATGTGCGAATTCTTCTCACGCTTTCAAATCTTAAGGCTCTCCAAGCCGAGCATGTTCCACAGTTGATTGCGAACTTCGAAACATCCTTCTCTGTCAAACTGACTGAGGAAGCAAAGACTGTTCGCGATGTCCTCAGCCAGATCGAGGATCGGCTTTTCCAGTCATACACAAAACCCACCATTGCTGCCTTAGATGAAACTATCAAAGCTGGTATCACCGCTGCGGACTGGGAGCCATCAACCGATCGGCCCGAGCAAGTTCGACCATATGTTTACAACACCATGTTAACTCTGGTGTTGGTGCATACCGAAATTTCCACTACTATACCGTCTACCGTGAAACCGAGCTCCAGTCGTTCATCTCCAAGCGCCCCATCATCATTATTGGCCACCATATTGACGCATCTCCTTGTGAATGTCTCCTCATCCCTTCTCAATGCCTTCCGCTCTCGCCCCTCATTTTCACTTGCCGCTTTGATGCAGGCCACGTTGGACACCGAGTTCATCGCCCAGACCCTGTCTCAATACTCCACCGACGAAGCATCAGATATACAAAGCCAGGTATATGTAGAACTGGATCGCCGTACGACGAATGAAGCCCGTACAAAACTCCAAGCGGAGTTGGGAGAGATGAGAGTTGTCTTGAAGCGATTGAGGGATCGAACCAAGGGGGAGTTTGCTTGCTTCAAGAAGCCTAGGAGCGGCGGCTCCAAGCCATCTACCTCAACATAGAAGCGAATTAGACGATATCATTGATCTTGTTAAGAAGCGTATCATGAAATATGTGAACATTTTTTGTCCTGAACAAAACTCAGTAAGAACCGGGTATCATAAACAATGGCCGTAGCCCTCTTTTTCCCTTCCTCCTCTTTCTGCCTGCATTTTCGAGTCCGATGTCCAACAGCGGCAGTATTTTCTTAACCGACCATGCGCTGCACCCGACTCAGGAGCGCAGTACTCTCTCGTCCCAATCGTCGCTTCCCAAACTGATCTGGACGCTTCGCCCGCGTCATATCCTCCCGCTCCTTCTGCTTAGCCTCGCGCTCCTTTCTGCGTGCTTCGGCGGCCTTTTTCCGTTGCTCCGCAATTTCCATCTCCTTGGAGAAAGCCGACGGCCTAGGCTTACGCTCCTTTCGCTTCGCTTCATTGTCTCGAGGGCGTCGCTCCGGCCTTGGTGCGGGCTCCGGGGATTGGGGTGGCTTGTTTAACATGGCGACTCGGCTCGGGTGAAGTTCAGTCGACTTCTCTTCATCCTCATCCTTGTTGGCACCATCCTCTTCTTGGTATTTATCGTAGACGGATTTGGGTTTTCCAGAGGCGACTTCTTGAGCTTTAATCTTGGCGTAGGCCTTCTTGACTTTTGCCTTTTGGATCAAGTCGGACTTGATTTTTTGGGCTGTAGAGAAAATAAAAATTAGCATATCTTAAATCCCGAGAAGAAAGAACAAGCAAATACTCACTCTTGCGACGATATGTTCCATCGGGCAGGTTGGCTGGACCAACGCTGAAACCCTTGCTCTTCTTCTCCGAAGCACCTGCCCTGCCTCCGGGTCCATTTTCCGAGTCATGGGGTCGCTTAGGTGCCATGACTGTATGTATTCGATACGATAGCCCTTCTATCCTATTTCTTTGGAGTGTGATTGTGATTGTGTTGCGCGGTGTTTTAAAAAAAAGTTGAAGAAGTGCGGAGACGCAAAGGGAAAAAATAAAAAAAGCGGCGAACCTCGGCCGATCGCCGACGGTCTGGAACTCAGCAATAGCAACGCCCACCTTTACCCCGGCTTTTCTCTCCTTTAAACTAGATGTCGATTCCAATGTGTTTCACTGGCTACTTGGGTTGTTCTTACTATTACTAACATCAAATTGAAAATAAAAAATATCACAGACACAGCTCGATTCCGGATCAGGCCCGCCGAAAACGCTTGGGCACCCGATGAATCGAGCGCTGTTAGTTGGACCACCATTTTTGCTAATTGAACCATGGTCTTTCTGGCTTCCGATTAGTATGTAAACCCCATACAAATTTCGATATACAGTGATACAACTAAAGTTTGCAACCCTCTATTGCCTACTATTATTGAAAATCTTTGAATGAACAGTAGACTAGTAGTAGCTACCTAAGATATAATAAATAGGCCAATCTATTCCATCTCGGATAGCTACTAACTAGTTAGTTAGTATGCTAACTTGAACTATTCAAAGGCAGAAGACTAAGATAGAGTCCAACAAAAGGTTGCAAACTTGTACTATGCTGCTGTATAACAGAGTTATATCTAAATTTGCATTAGAGATACATAGTTATTAATCTAGATTAAGAAGGGCCATGGTCCAAGGAGCAAAAGTATGGTCCAATTAGTAAGAAGGGTGGTGCAAATAGCAGTACTCGATGAATCATCTGAGGGACCCACGAGATGACATGACCGGAAGGTTGATCGGCCTTTCTTTCAACCTCAAACTCTCTCGGACTCTGTGTCCGTATCTACCGCTTCAACACGACTTAGAGATAATTCACATTCATACCCTATATACCGCACTCTTCCCTGCCAATCACTGCTGGAACCACTGACGGCATATCGACCCATCCTCTCACACCTCACACCGCATCCCAACCACCCCACCACGGCTGTGCCGGGTCTCGTTTCGAACTTGCTCGCCACATTGGCGACCTCCTGCAATGTCCGGCTGTGAGTTTCAGACCTCATAGTCTGTATTCTATCTCGCCAATATGCCCCTATTTCATGATCCTCATCGCCGAAGCCAGTACCGCCTGTCTGGGGACCGGGGAGATCATGAGCAGCCTGCCGGAGAGTCCCCTCAGGGCGAGCCATATCAAGATAGCGAACCGATACTTGATAGGCAGATATAACCGGCGTTCATTTGGGCTCAACACCTGCGGACCTATATCCGACCAAAATATGGACCAACGACCGCCAGGAAATTATACATCGAATCAAAGAATCGTCGCCCTGGAGGCGTCAGTATATGGTGAGCGATTTCTTTCAACTAATCTCCTCGGCCCTCAACCTTTTACAAAAACATTTGCTATTTATGTAACTCAGCATGCAGTGTTACTAACCCTCTCAAGCCGCAAATAAGCGACAACAGTGAGCAGTCTTTGTCTCATAACTCCCCGGGAGAGGTGAGTCAAAGAACAGAAAGAACAGAACAGCAACCTTCAAGACACACGGAAGATGCGCAACAAACAGACGAGATAAAATCGCCGGCCGATATTCAAAGACCTCGCTCTGCGTTGCACTCCGGTGACTTTAGAGAAGGCATACCTCACGACGTCTCCCACTCTCCACGGGCTCCATTTGCTGAACAAAACCCGACCTCCACATTTCCCCGCCTTGGAACATCACCAACCACGCCATGGTTTGCTGCACCAGCCTTTGGGGACCCCAGTCGCGATTTAAGTACCTTGGGTGACCATCGCGAGCCACTGGCAATGCTTGGAAATCGCGCTAGAGCACCGTCGCTGGGGTCATTTTCGTCAAGCTATGTTTTGAAAGCGCCAACGAGCCCTCTTGTACATCAGGCCAACAACACCGACCTGGACTTTTCGCCACGGGTATCACCGGTGGAATCAACACCCTTCGAGAGGGCTAGTCGCCGCCGAACCTTACCACCGGAAACCTTTCGACAGCTCCAAGGATCTCCTCCACCTACTGAGTTCGTCAACATGCACAGTCCCTGCCCATCTCGCCAACCAGATGGGTTTTATAATTTCCCTTGCTCGCCTCGCCGGTCTTTGACTTCATCATACAGTCTTCAACTTGCCTCTACCGTAAATACTACTCCTGCATACCGGGCAAGAAGACCTTCCCTCGTCTCCGACATCTCTCCAAAACCCCATGCCCCAATGGTTGGCTCCTACGAAGAATCCATTTTGCGCGGGCGAATGTCGATGAACCCCTCCAAACCGCTAGACTTTACCGCTCAGATCGGTGTCCTCGGCAAAGGAAAATGCAAAGGGCATCTCAAATGTCCTCCCCATGTGACGGTACCATTTCCGGCCTTCTTTTATAGTTATCCGACATCGGGGAATGGTCGCTCTATTTCAGATGACAGCCCAAGTCCCTATGTCGGCCACATCGATCTTGAAAACTCACTGTCCAAAGATGATGTAAGTGCGACTCGACGTCGTCGGCGACACGTCAGTCCATCCAAATCCCGCGAAGGAAATATCCCAGAGGAGCCGAACCCCACTCGAATTCCCAGTGCAGAGACCCAGCGTCGTCGGGAAAAGAAGAGCCGCAGAGCGGAATCTCCTAAAAGCCCCCCAGGCGGGTGCTATCGAATCCCTCAGCAAGGTCAACTGCAGATTATAATCAAAAACCCACACAAGACTGCTGTCAAGCTCTTCCTTGTACCATACGATCTGGATGACATGGAACCCGGAACCAAAACATTCATTCGGCAGCGCAGCTATTCCGCAGGACCGGTCCTCGATATGCCGCTGAGTGCCCGAAAGAACTATGGGACGGATCGACCTGAGGCGGCTTTAAACAGCACTGAAGATCCTCAGGATAAACCAACCTTGCGATATCTAATCCATCTCAACATATGCTGTCCAGCACGAGGTCGCTTCTACCTTCACTCGAGTATTCGCGTGGTGTTTGCAAACCGAGTGCCGGACGGCAAAGAGAAGCTACGTAACGAGATCCAACTACCAGAACCTCGGTACAGTCCGTACAAGCCATGCCGGGATCCTACTATTTCGACTTCTGCTGGAGCCCGGCTAGCGATTGACAAAGCTTCACGGAGACGGAGCATTGGACAAGACACGATTCCACTCCTGCGACCAGACGCTACCTCCCCCAGCGATTTTTCGCCACATTGGAGCCCGGGGCAGCCCTTAGACATGCTATCTCCACCCGATCCTGCCCAGTTTGATCCGGGTGTTTACAATAAGCTAAACAAACACGACTTTGGATATGGAAGGTATCCTTACCCATCCGGCCCGAGCACATCCGAGAACGGCGAAAGTCTGCTCGCCAAGAGACTCCGTGCCTTAGATGTACAACGCAGAGAGAAGTTTGACAATAGTTGAGCCGGTTCTTGACATGCCTCTCTCTCTCTCTCTTGCTGAGGCCAAAGGAGCCGCCTCTATTCGCCCACCACCAACCACATCACATACTGCCCTGTATAAGCAATTTCGTCATAATCGTCAACTCTACTTGGTTTTCGAGATTTCTCTTATTGGTTTGATCTTTGGCTTCGCTGTTCAACCAACTGTGAATAATTAAGGCAAATTGTGAGCATGTTGGATATCGACGACAGAACTAATATACACAGCAACTCCAACCATACTAGTAGCACACCGAACTTTTTCATTTGCGAACAGGTTTCTCTTTCTTTCTCTCTATCTGTTTTCGACTTTTGATTCTCCGCCTTTTCTATCTTCAAGGTGCTGGGCGCTTGGGTTCTCAGATAGTACATATACCCTTCTCTTTCTGCGTCAGATTGCAGGACCTTTCGTTACATTCAAGTTCATTCATTAAAGACCGCGACATACTACTAGTCTGCCTTCTATACGAATTGATCTTTACTTTTCATCCTCCATATGATATACTAGGCAAAGTACTAGTAATACTACTAGTTAGTACCAGCAAGTTCCTGGGGCGTTCAAGTTCTTTCAACCTTGGAATCGTGATCAAAGGGACTGGGCTACATCAAATACCACAGCTTGATCTACGGCCAGTACGGCTATCATATATCTCCTCTATCAGCCAATAATAGCATAGGAACAAGTTAAACCTGTATTCTCGCAGTGTATATCTACAGAAGGGCGCTAGGTACAGCACACAAAGATTAAAAAGAAGTTGGGAGAAAGACAAAATCCTCCAAGCGAGGAAAATCATCAACTCCTGAAACTCAAGCTCAAGTCGGGTCTTCAAAACACCCGGGTCATGCAAATGAAAATACAAAGATTTAGCCAGCGTGCTCGACGATCTCGGTTACAAGCACCCCGTCCTTGATGTAGCTCTTAAACTGCTCGGGGACAGGGCACTCCTTGGTGTCATCATCGGTACCTTCCTTGGGAGGAAGGTTGATGTTAACGGCAGAAGACTTGCTGGTGAAGATCTCGGTGGCAAGGCTTTGCTGGCCCAGATAGATGGTAGCGCCATCAACCTGGTCCAGAAGAACGGTAGGAACGACACCGTCGATCTGCAGAGCGAACTTGGGCGACTTGACGACGTCCAAGCTGCTCACCAGGGAATCAACGATGATGGAAAGACCGGTGCAGTTGTCGATGGCAATAGCATTCGCCTTGCCGGGAATCTTGATGATAGACTTGTTGACGCGCGAGATGAGGATAGATTGGTTCTTCTGCGCAGGAATCTCGATAATATCCTCTGCGCTGTCGAAGTTCTCCACCAGCCACTTGCTACCCTCCAGTTCCTTGCGCGGCGGCTTGCGAGCACGCATGCTCTCGGGCTTGGGCTTCTTGTTTGGCGCGGGTGACTTGCTCCGAGAAGCGCTGGAGCCCTCGGGCACAGTAGAGTTGGCACGTAGACCAGGGTTCTTGTGGGTCATCTCCGACTTATCGACCTTGCGCAGACCAGAGGTGATGGCCTCGCCTTGGTTCAGCTGATCAAAGACAGCAGACATGTCTGCGCCCGGAGCAGCAGGGGCAGGGGGTGGAGGAGGAACACCTGGGGGAGGCGGCGGTGGAGGGGCACCAGCACCGGGAACATTTACAGATGGGACGGGGGAGGAGGGGGAGGGGGAGGAACGGCGCCAGTGCCGGCTGGGGCAGGGCCACCCTTGATCTGCTTGAGTGCTTCCAAGGCATCAACGCCGGACTCATTGTTCCAGGTCAATCCTGTGGGGTAATGCTTCTTCAGGAAGGCAGAGAGGCCCTTGAAGTTTTGGTAGTAGGCTTGAATGTACTCGACGTGTGTTCGGTCCCTGCATACAGGTTAATTGAAGGCCGACACATTTCCTCGCACACGAGGCAAACTCACTTCTCCTTGAAATCCTTGAGAACCTTGTTGCCGTAATACTGAATACCACCAATCATTTCTTCGACAAAGCTTGCGGGCTTAGTCTCGAAGAACCATCCTAGAGCGACAATGCCCTCAGCAACAGCACTCAAGTGGTTGAACATTGGCGAGGCACGGTTTGACTCTCGAATATTGTTGATGCAGTCCGATGCCTTATGCAGATCCGTCATGAGTTCAATGGGTTGAGGTTCGGGCTTCTTGGCCTTGGTTGCGACGAAAAGGTAGGTACGCTCAGCCTCGAATGCTTGCAGAACGGCTTTGGACTATAATGCGTCTCCTGTTAGCCATGGTTCTAGACCAATTCCCACGTAAATAAGCCTCACCTGCTCTTCCACCAAGCCACCGATCTTCGCACCCAGCTTCACGAAGTTCTGGACATCTCCCTTGATCAATGCATCGAAATCTTGAATCTGCGGCGGGATTTGCGGCGCCACGGGAGCTGCGGGCGGAGGTGGAGAAGGCTTGGGAGGTTCCGGGGTCGCAGGTGCCGCAGTAGCAGTACCACTCAGGTTCTTGGGGATGCTGGGCTCTTCGACGGACATGGCCATATCCTCCAAGCGGGAGGTCGCCGCCTCGAGCCTGTTGACAGTCTACCGTCAGCCCAAGTCCACCGGGGGTACGCATGGCACCGTTTAGACTGGATTGAAATACCAGCCGTAGTACCACTGGGGGTACAGTGACCAGTCAGAGGGATACGTACCGCTTGATGAGGGTGGTGAAATTATGCATGTGGCTTCCGCTCGCCATGACAGGCAACACGTTGCTCAAGGGAGCTGAAAGAGTAAGGGGACGGAAGGAAAATGGGGAGTGGCCCGGGTGAACTTTGAAGTATAGGACCGAGTTGGACAGTACTTCAGCAGCGTCGTGTCCCTCTTAGCAAGGCAGCAGATTGGGGGAAGAAAGTAGGAGTAGGAGATGGTTGACTGAGCTGCCCGGCCGACGTTCAGGAGCTGCGACCCGCACCGGTACGTACGTTACGCGGGTACAAGCGGGCATCGGATGACGTTGGCAGGTATATTTGGTATTACAATTACCTGGCATTGATCCACTCCCGAACTTCATGGCTGGCCCGATAGATTTGATAGATGTGTTTTATTGTTTCTTCCATAGCCATTGGTGCCGTCAGAAAGCATTTTTGCTACTCAGCTATGGCCAACAATCATGATGTCGCTACCCGGTCAGACCAGGTTGACTTCTGTACTCTAGGAATGTTTATTCTTGGTATGCTTCTTTCCATTTGAGAATCGAAGCCCCGCATGGTCTCATGTCTGTTCCAAATTACTCACAACCTTGCAGATGATATCGATTTCGGTGGCGTTAGACCAGGCGTCAAGAACATTCTTGGAGGAGCCGCATCTTTTGCAGTTGTAGGAGCTCGTTTAGTGGCGGGCTCCGCGCATGGACGTGCTGTTAGCTGGATCGTGGATGTTGGATCCGATTTTCCGCCTGAAACTCTAGCTGCCATTCAGTCATGGGGCACGGACTGTGTCATTAGAGAGGACTTCAATAGGCTGACAACAAAGGCCTGGAACGGGTACCATCCGAACGAGAAACGAGGTATGATAGATAGCCCCTACGCCGGTTGCCTGGCACGAACCGTACATGATTAACGAAGATTTCAGATTTCAAATACCTGACTCCCAAGTTAAGGCTGGAGCCTCATATGCTCTCCGACACGCAGGTGTGGTCACGGACTTTCCACATGGTCTGCTCACCCTCGCGATGCGTATCAATTGTACATGATATACTCAAACGACGGGGTGAGCTGCAACGAGCAGGCCACGCTCCTTCCACTCCACATGTCTTGGATCGTCCCTTTTTTGTCTGGGAGCCAGTCCCTGATCTCTGCACACCAGAAGAACAAGACAAGTTTTTCGCTGCAAACCGTGTGGTGGATATTGTTAGTCCTAATCATCTTGAGCTGGGCATGATGTTTGAACAGCCTGGGTGGACTACAAATGACGAAGCGAGCCGACGACTGGTGAAGAATATTATTGAAGCCGGAATCGGTCCCACTGGCAATGGCTGCCTGGTTATCCGAGCAGGGAAAGATGGGAGTTACGCCTACTCGAGAGACCAGGAAATCTGGCTCCCGGCCTATCATCAACCTGATACCTCAGGCGCTACACTGGTAATCGACCCCACAGGTGCTGGCAATTCGTTCCTCGGCGCGCTGGCTCAAGGATTGATATCTGCCGGCCGAGAGCCCTTTGGCGTTATTGACTCCATTCTATCGAACTCTACGGAATGGGAAGAGGGAATGGTTCCCTGGAACGGGCGTCAAGATCTACCTAAAGCTCTTATTTGCGCAACTGTTGCAGCCGGATTTGTAGTGGAGCAAATTGGCGTGCCGCAGATCTCGGCGTCGAAGGAAGGGAAGGAATTGTGGAATCAGTCTGAATTCACGGAACGAGTCCGCCTGTACACGCAGCGATTATTTAGAACGTTGGAAGAGTCTCCCCAGAGACACCTGTTGACCAATTGATCAATGGTTGATTGAGGAACGCCCCTCTATTGTCGTACAACCGGGAAAGATGAAATGATAGTAAAAACACAGTATGAAGATGTTCCATCACACCAGGAATCCTCCACTAACGGCCACCTGGGACGCGGGGTGTCGTCTATTGCGGGTTCTGAGCGGCCTGTTGCTTCTCATGCTCACGGATCTCTCGGCTCCAGCTAAATTCGAGAGGAATGAGGTCAGTATAGAATTCGCAGGAGGGGTCCCGATTCGGAAATGACTGACTATCGGCTGGGGAAGAATCTGCCGGGCTCGGGCATCTTATCGCGGTGCTCTCGGTCGGCACTGATGCTGAAGGCAATGGCGGCAATACCAACGACAAAGGCGCCCATGACGGCAGTGTTGGCCCTCCAGTTGCCTGGCTGGGCGTACCAACCACCAGCGGGGGACCAGACTTCCTTGGGGTACCTGCGTAGCGAAAACTGTTAGCATCCACCTCCATTATCAAGTTCCGCGAGAGGATTGGACTCACGGGATCTTTCCACCTCCACCCATTGTGATTGAGATGTAATTGAAGGAGCTGTGGGAGTGTAAATGAAGGGAGGGCTGGACTGTTCTCGTAAAGCGCGGGCTGAAGCGGCTTCACGAAGTTCAGGCGCCAAGCCACTAGTTAGATACTAGTCCCAATCAGGACTAGTGTCTGCTCACACGACTCGCAAATCCCGTGACTACCGCCGATAGATTTTCTGTCTTGAGTTGAGACTCACGCTCCCCGTGAATTGGCCGCCCGACTCCGATCCCATAGCCATTAACACAGCGCGGTCTCTCCTTTTTCTTCTCTTCGAGTTTCTTTTGCGTGTCATTCTACAATCGCCCAGATGAAGAGGCTGCAGCTCCAACGATGGAGCAGCACTGCTCTTTCGCCCCGGGTTCGGACTAACAATCGACTGCATCAACAACTCTATTCTACCGGATTGCGACTCCAATCTACTGTGTCTCCGCTTCAATCCGAGTCTACCATCTCAGAGAATGTAGAAGACGCGAGCTTTCAAAACCCGGATGCGATGCGCCACATTCGACGTGCTCACAAGCGCAAGACACAATTGCAATATCCCTCTCCCCGGTCGAAGCCGCCACCCAGTCCGCCAAACTCGCTGCCCTCCATGCTCGACTTTACCTCCCTTCCCGACTACCTCTCCAAACCCTTGCGCGGACATTAGTTGATGCCTCAGCTGACTCCAATGTCGATTTCAACAACGAATCGCTGGCTACCCTCGGCCACGACCTCCTTGCCAACTACACATCCGAGCACCTCATTTGCACCTACCCACGTCTGCCATTGAGCGTAACATTCGCCGCCATGTATGCTTATGTTGGTCCCAAAACCCTTGCCGCGATTTCCAAGGAATGGGGTATCGACAATGCTACAGTGCCCGGTGGTGAAGTAGACCCCGGTTTCCTGCAGTTCCGAAGAGTCGCTCCCGGAACTGCCGTGGAGGACATCTCACAACTCCAGTCCGCACGCCCATATGCCGATCAAAAGAAGTGGAGGATGACTGTATCCTCGAAAATCTTCTACGACGACGAGTTTGGTGACGCGATCAAGGGGTCCGTGGCTTTGGGTCAAGGTGTTACAGACGAGACTGCTAGGGCCACCTTCGTCCGTGCTGTTCTCGGTGCCATCTACCTGCACGCCGGTCGCCCTGCTGCCAAGCGATTCTTCGAGCAACACATTCTCTCCCGACACCTTAACATCTCCGAACTGTTCAACTTCTCTCAACCCGCCCGTGACCTGGCCCGACTATGTGCCCGTGAGAACTTCGAGGCGCCCGTTGCCAAGATCGTCAGCGAGACCGGTCGCAAGAGTAGATCCCCCGTCTTCGTGGTCGGTATCTTCTCCGGCCAAGATAAGCTGGGCGAGGGCTCTGGCTCCAGCCTGATGGAGGCACGTGAGCGTGCGGCTCTCTCTGCCCTGAAGGGATGGTACCTGTACACCCCGATCAACCCGCGTGTCCCCAGCTCCATGGAGGAGGAGGGAGCTGCGCCATGGAAGCCCGCCCATATTGACTTGGGTGAGGTGATTGTCTAATAAAAGCAGACGACAAAAGCTACTCCCGACCGAAGATGAGTGAAGCACATCTTCTTTCATATCCCTTTTTTGTCCCACTTTTGCTATCTTTTCCGGTGTGCTATGGTTTCGCATGGGAAACGGGCCAGAGAGAATATGGTCGTTCCCTCTGTCCTTTGCATGACTGGATACTGTACAGTATAGGAATTCAGGTTCCTTCGATTCATCTGGTGTCTTTTCCTGGATTTCTTTTTATTTTTCCCCTATCTATTTTTGTCTCGTCGCATTTTCTACTGTCTTATTCGGCCACGCCCCTCTCCTGGTCCAAATGAGGGTTGATCGATGCCACTGGCCTCGACACTGGTATATAGAGGTGCCCTCCTATTAACACATGTACTACAACAATGAAAATCTTTCTAGATCTTAACTTGATCTCTGTACTGTATCCATTGCCGATTGCGTTTGACGCCTATGTACTACTCTGATCATTCCTGATTGACAACATTGGAATCTCATCTTCCCAGTGACTCTTATTTCCCACCATCACTGTCAAGAAATTGGCCATACTTCGCCCACAGCTCAGCAACCTCCATCCCAAAAAGTCCCCTCCAGAATCCAATTTCACCGGCCAACGACTTCTCCTTATCCTCTCCAACATACCCTACTCTTAACAGCCGGTCATTCAGCATACCAATCGCCCCCTCACCCACCCAGACATCCTCAATCCAGGCCAAGAAGTACGCAGTGTGCTGGTATCCAGCATCCCATTTAGAAGCCCGCTCTGAAGCGGACTGGGGCTTCTTCCAATGCGGAGGATCCAAGTGTGCCTTCAACCGGACAAAGTCCGCAATGCCTTCAATCAGACCTCCTGGCGGGTGAGGGATCTTTGTTTCGGGCTCATCGTCAGTCTTGGGTGGTGCCGTATGCTGGTAGCAATGCACAAGCTCATGGGTGAGCACACCGGCTAATTCTCGAACCGGATCTGCGAGGGTAGTACAATGTTTGATGTACGGTAGGGAGAGGTGAATTTCCTTATGGTCATTGTCGAGCTCGGTGCCGGTTGTGTACGCGACACCACTGAAATCACGGAGGAAGAGGGTGACAGAGCGCGTTGGGGGTACGGAAGGGTTGAATGAAGGCCAAGTTCTCTTTTTGCTTCTTTCTATGTCTTCGGATTTTGTCGCCGGCGAGGTGTAGAGGTATCTGATGATGTTGTCGAGGGCCGTGTCTAGCTTCGAGGTGACATCGGGAACGAGAGTGAAGAACGAGACGGATGATGGGTGACGAAGTTCTTCGGCGTGGAGACGTAGCTTCGGCTTCGTAGCCTTTCCCTTCAAGCTTTGTTTCTCTTTCGGATGCTCGTGCCCCGCCTTCTGCTGTATACTAAGGTCTGCATCGGGCCCCGTGTGATGTTTGGGAATTGCAGAAGCAGATGCAGCTGCGGGGGCGGGTGGGGTTGTCGTGGTGAATTTTGTCATTGCTGGGTGAATCGTAGAACTTCAAGTAGGAGTAGGAGCAGCGGAGAAGACGAAAAACCAAGATTGAGTGTCTATGATCCTCGAGTAGCCGACGCCCGGCGGTGTTGAGACATTGATCGACAAGACGATTGGGAAGGTGGGGAGCTGGTGCCGCTCCACTTTGGCTCGACCCCATCTACTACACACCTTGGCTAATCTACGGCGTAAATGTAGCTCTAGTTTATCCATTGTTACCTACTAGGTATTACTAATTAGTACTAGTATGTAGCATATAAATATTCTCACAATGTTCGATCCGCTGCAAGTACTAATATCATGCCAATATTTCAACTTGAAGTTCCCAAGTCACGGTCCTTTATATATTTAGGTAACGGTACTACTTAGTAGTAGTATGTAGTAGTTATGGATCCAATGGATGTTCAACTTGAAATTCATCCCGAGGTCACAAACAGCTAATAGTACTACTACTAGTAGTACCTACTTAGGTAGTCTTTGAAAATTCAAGTTTGAATCTTGGAACCCCAGAAATAATAAACATCTTTACCTATGAGTCACTGGACAGATTTTGAGATCGAAGAGGAATGGGATAGTCCTGATGGCAGAGGTCAAGTTGTCGCACGCGCTTTTGGTCTTGGCCCAGAACGACCGATTTTAGAGGACGAAGAGGGTCAGACTCAGATCATTCAATCTGGTGAGAGGTTTTACATGTGGGATGAGATGAATGATGAAATCCACGAGTTTGCCTGCCAGGACCTGGGTGAGATCTATCATGCCCTACATCATGGAGGACTGCGGAAACTGGACAGATGGCTCCTAGAGGAGGTTGGCCCCCTTATGCATTAGGCTTAATCCAAGATAGCGATACACAAGGACTGAAAACAGATCCTAGATCAAGTCGGCGGACTTGCCTGTTAGGTTCAAGTTGAACTTGCTACATTGCTGAATTGTGCCCCATACCACTGCTTTCTGTAAAAGATTTGACTCTTGAGTATTCTAAGTATGGACTTGATCTGAACCCTGGAGCCCTGGAGGTAAGAAATATCTCACAGAACCTACTTCTTTTCTCATCGGCGTTGATGATTTCCAATGTATATGGGTCACATGACATGTTATGGATAATACCATATTCCCCCCAATAGTTCTCCTAGATAAAGGATCATAGAAAGATCATACTTGTACCAGGTGGCTCTGATTTCTAGAGAGTATTTAATGCTACCTAGGTAGGTACCACTGCATAATACTATGCAATTGTGTAATTGGTAACTGACGTAGTGACTCCGACTTCTCACACTCCATGGTTGCCCTTTGCGACCGTGATATCAACAGGTAAACAAACCAACGCGGGGGAATTGGGCCACACTGGCACTTCTGTACCCAACCACGGTTGACGAAAATAAACCATACTACTGGTAGTATATTGTTAAACAGAATAATAAGAAGTCTACTGCCAAACCTAAACTATTACTTCTATTTTTTGACTAGGATCACCCCTTTCATCTCGCCTTGACCAAATCTTTGTCGCATCAGTGGAGACCACTCGCGCTTATCCGCGCTTATCGCCCCTTGCTCTCCGACTTTCCCTCACCTTCGTCAACACATCCCACCATCCACGGTTCGCGCCCGCTCTCTCCTAGTCAATAACATTGCCTTGGTAGGTGTCATTCCATTCCATTCAGAAGATTTGATTAGCTGTGGCCACTTAGGCTGTTTCTGCTCTCAACTCTAAAGACAGTTGCCTGACTTCCCATGTTTGCTTGCGCCGTGGCCACATCCTGACCGTCGCGATCCCGATCGTGGATCAGACATCTCCTGCTGATCTATCGCTGTCAACATTCAGCCCTGCCAATATATCGCTACCAGAAGCTAATATTTCGCAACAGACAACGGCGAAATCCCAATCTGATTCCTCTCGCTCAGTTCCTAGTGTCCGCATCACAACTGTTTTTGCCCCTCAAACCCGCCGACTGCTGCCCGGCTCCATTGATTCCGCCGTTGCAGATACTGCCTCTTATGTTTTGTCTATAACATCGCCAAATTTTCTCTCATCCGCGCCCAAAATGGAGGCAAAGGCGGCAGAACTTCTAGCGGTCTTCAAGAACCCCAACGTCTCTATTGACTCCCGAGTCGCCCACCTGACCGCCATCAAATCCGATATCAAGCAAAAAAACGTCCCCGAGAGCGCAATTGTAACCATCTTTGATACCCTACGACTTGCTATCAATTCTCAACATTACTCAGTGGCGAGTGCCGGCTTTTCCACCTTGGGCCATTTCTTGAAGCGTCTTTCAATCCAAGATCAGCAACAATGGATTCTCAGCCAAGCGTCCAACTTCTATCCCATCTTGTTGGAGCGGCTGGGTGATCACAAAGAACGCGTGCGGGCCCAGTCTGCATCCATCTTCACTGAACTTTGGTTACACGCAAATAACGAAGCTGAGTATTATGTGTTGCAGTGTGCTCTAGTGGGTAAGAACCCAAGGGCTAAAGAAACAAGTATGCTCTGGTTATCATCTGTACGTTATAGGCTTCTCAATACTCAAAACACTACTCTAATCCAGACACCACCCAGATGACGAAGAACCACGGTTTGTTAATCCGACAGTACGTGCCCCCACTGGTTGCGTGCTTAGAAGATGCCGACAGTTCTGTTCGAGACACGGCCAGATCAGTTGTGGTGGAATTGTTTCGGTATGCTAAATCTTCCATATGATCGACGGGGCTTGGTGAGACTAACCACATCACCTAGAAATGGTTCTGCGAGGGCCAAGTCAGACCTACAAAAACAGATTGCGGCTCGTGGGGTGAGGAAGTCGATCGCGAACGCCATTTTGTCAAGCATTGGCCTTGGGTCTGGAGAATCGGAAAGCTCAAATAGACCTGTCTCCCGTGTCGAGCGGCCGATCTCAGTCATGTCGTCCCGCTCCCATGCTGTCGAATTACACGATGATGGTCAGTTTACTATTCCAAGCCATGTATAATTCCCAGCAACTAATATGAAGGTATCACAGAACACGAATCGCGAAACCGACCAGTCCCATCAAGAGGCCATCAAGATCGCTCGACACCTGGGCCCCCAGAAGCCCCAAGTCGACCCAAGACCCCGGCTGAGGCACCTCATACCCAGAAGTCCCTTCCGGAGGAGGATGGCGTTGAGCCCTTGCTAGTTTCATCGTCTCGAGATGTTGAAGATACCATACGGGATATGGCCTATTGGTTTGAAGGCAAAGAATCCGAGGACAATTGGATGAAACGTGAAAAAAGCGTTATCCTTCTCCGAAGACTCACCCGTGGTAACGCGCCCCATGAATTCTTGCAGTCCTTCCTCCAGGGCATAAAATCCCTTTTGGATGGAATTTTCAAAGTTGTACATTCCTGAGAACTACGCTTTGCAGTGCTGGCTGCCTCCTGATCCAAGATATCGCGCGGATCTGTGGCCCACGAATCGACGGCATGGTCGAGATTATGATGCAGAATTTGATGAAGCTGTGCGGATCTCTGAAGAAGATTGCGGCACAGAATGGATGTGCTACAGTCGACGCTGTCATTGGAAATGTGACATTCAACATACGTATTCTACAGCACGTTCACTGGGCCTTGCAAGATAAGAATGTGCAGCTGCGCCTTTCAGCCCCTGGGTGGCTGCGAACCTTGATTTCTCGACAATCTCACCATAAAAGCACCGTTGAACATGGTGGCGGCCTGGATCTCATTGACAAGTCTCTCAGGAAGGGCCTTGCTGACGCCAACCCCGGTGTACGAGAGGCAGTACGCAGTACCTTCTGGACTTTCTTCGGCGTATGGCCCGACAGAGCAAATCTTATTTTGTCTGATCTCGACACCAAATCGCGCAACCTGTTGGAGAAGGACCCGTCGAATCCTAACGCGGGCCAGATGGCACCCGCCTCTGCCAGTAAGAGTGCCAGCGGCCCTGCGGCTGCTCGTTCTGCATTGAAAGAGGCCATTGCCGCTAAGAGGAAGGCTGCGAACATGAATTCCCGCCCTGAGTCTGCCCAGCCAACTTTTAATGATACCAAGGCGCCAGAGTCCTCCAGGTCGACGGCGAGAACGGTTCCTACCGGTGCCCCTCTCTCTTCCTTGTCCTCCGCCCCTATGCGCCCTGCCATGAAACCACGACGAGCTGAAATAAGTCGTCCGGCAACTGCAGATCCGTATGCATCTCGGCCAAGCTCCAGAGCAGCCCAATCGTCTAGCAAGACGCCGGTTAGCTCTCCAAGATCAGTGAGATCCAAAGCCACCACACCCTCATCCAAAACAATATCTGCTCCCCGTCTCCGGCCTCACGAGGCAGGCCACACCGGAACAACTAGAGGCAAACCTAAGAAGCTCGATCTTTCCAAATCCAAGTCCCACGGAGACCTCGCAGCTGCGAGTCATGCGCGTAGCAATTCTGAAGATAGCGTCGCAAATCAGAATTCTCTCCACAGCTCACAGGCTGATTTACTGCGTGCCTCGCAAGAACCAGATGAGCTAGCAAATGTTGTATTGGAGAGCCCCCCCCTTGAAGCATCCCAACCACCCTTCCGCAGTCACCGACCACCTGGACCTAGTCAAGAAGCAGCCCCTGAGCCTGTTGAAGAACCGCAGCCTCTTTCTCTAGAAGAGCCTGTTACTGTGCCTTCGCCGAGCACCCCCAGACTGGACCCCACTGTGCCACACCATTCCGATGTGGAAGCCGAGCCAGAATCTCCTCCCAAGATCCAGCCCGACGAAATGGTCATATATGAAGACCCTGACACCCCTGTTGCCGTTGAAGCTGACGCCCCTGAGATGGCGCCCGTTGAGCGTTTCACGCCACGGAAGTCCCCAGCAAGGTCTCCAACGAGGTCTCCTGTGAGAACACCGCGCCATGCTCATCACGAGCAGGCCCCGCCGAGGAGATCGTAGCACAGACCCCGGCTGACCTGGAGACGCCGACTAAGAATTCCTCTATTGAACTGAGTCCCCAACAGGGTTCAGCCAAGGATACTGTGGCCAACGAACCCCACTTTCAATCGTCAATTCGGAGAACACCCCTTCGGGGTAGTCCTTCGCCTTCAAGGAATCGCTTTCAATCTACACCTCCTGAAAAAGGGATGGGGATAAGTCCTGCTTCAGCACAGGAACCACCAAGGGAACCCATGACCGAGAAAAAATCTCAACAACGAGAATGCCACTCCCCAAAACAAAATTCACGACTATTCAACAGTACCTCCGTCTGCTGTCAAGCCCGGGGCCCTGGAAGAGGTTTCTCCTAATGAGTCAGCAGCGAGAAGCGTCGAGCCAAGGCCAAGATCCTTTGAATCCTTGGCCCATTCAACGGGAGAGGAACCATTGCGTCGCAGTCGAAAGTGGGCTGAAAGACATCGAAGCCCAAGTCCTCGATCGAAGGACCCCGCCAATGCTAGAGAGATGCTTCCCAAGGCCCTCAAGCGCATCGGTACGAAGACTATGGATATTTCCGGTTACCGAAAACTGCAAGGGCTTTTCCAATATCATGGCGAAGAGCTTATCTCTCAAGATAAGGATTACTATGCAGTACTTGGGGCCCTTCTGCATGAACTCGAATCTGCGCCAATGAACCGCAAGGACCACGACGTCAAAACTCAGATTCTTGCTACGATCCGCTCCATGCTCATCCGAACCAGTGAGATGTTCCACCAGTATGACATTCCTGCGATGGCCTCCCTCATTCGAGCTCGCCAGCATTACGAATCCAACTCGCACTTTGTTACTTGCCTAGAGGAAGTTGCAGAGCAGTTAGTCACCTTGATCCCGACTTCAGTCTCTATCAAAGGTGTTCTACAGGGACTGGACCTGGGAGAGGATGCTAACGGCGAGGGAGCTTACCGATCAATCATCTTGGGGCTGTCCACCATGCATCAAGCACTTGCCCAAGGAAGCGAGGAAATCTCCGACGAAGTCCTCGCCAGTATCGGAGGTGTGGTTAGTCAACAGCTCAACCACTCCCGACCAGGTGTGCGCAAGCAAGCCACCGAGCTGTGTACGCTTCTGAACCTCAAATTCGGACTTGATCGCGTTCAGAAACTCACTCAACCGGCAGGAGAGGGATCACTCAACCTGCTCACCTATTTCATGGCCCGCCGGTCTCAGTGAAACCAAACGGGTAGCTTGATATTTTCGGACCTGATATTGTAAATAGCCTTTTGACCTTCTCCATCTTTTTTTAATTCTGCTGTATTGTTTTCGAATGTCATTCTGTATCTACAATAAGTCGGTCCTCTCATGTTGAGGGAACCGTACATAATGAAAAGCTTTCATACATTGCCTCGTGGTTTTGCGTAGGATTTTGATGTGCAGACTGAGGAGCTGCCTTTCACGATTGACCGAATATCACCTCTTCTGAATCATAACTTGAACACCCTTCGTATAGGTGAAAAATGCATTTTTCAGCGACCACCTCTTGTCTGGATTTTGAAGCTCAAACTATGGCCCCGGGGGTCAGGTCAGCATATTTTCAAGGTTGACCAACGAGAGAAATGGGGTTCGCTGAATAACATACTTTGAATCTGATGAGCAGTTCAGGAATGACCTTGTACATCTCTAGATACGAGATATTTTTCCCGAGGCAAACTCTAGACCCGCCTCCAAACTGGAAAAAGAAGGGAATTAATTAGTATCGATGAAAGGGCTGCAGCCAGTTGATTTACCCCAGAACTTACAGCAAACAGCGTTCGCTCCATCTCTTTTTTCTTTTCTTCATTTCCTTCTATCCATCGCCCCGGTCTCCAGATAGCGGCATCTGCACCAAAAATATTCTCACTCTTATGCATCACCCAAGCATTAACTCCAAGAACTGTCCCTGATTCGAAATGTCTTCCAGATATCTCCATACCCTGTGGTGGAGAGACCCGTTCCAGAGGAATTCCAATAGCTGGGGTCATTCTCAAGGCTTCCTTGATACACGCGTCAAGGTAGGGAAGTTTATGCGCAGTAGCCCAGGGAATCGGGGACGAAAGATTTGCGTCGTCTAGTTCTGTAAGTAAAGCTTTCATTGATTCCGGATTCTTCATGAGGTGGTAGATCACTGATGTTAGGGTGATTGCAGTGGAATCGGAACCGGCCTGGACATTCTGTTGACACCAAGATAAAACCCAACTTCCAGACATTGTATCAGTAAATTTATGACAAAGAGAGTATGTGCAGGTCCTCACAAGTCAGGAATATCCGGACAGCCATCTTGAATGTCAAGAAACCGAGATAAAAAGTCACGCCCATGACCTTTGATTTCAGGGTGATTGTGGCGCGCTATCTTGCGCTCTTCTATTCTATCAAGGGCGAATTTAAGAACCGGAGATACCTTTCGTTTTGAGAAAATACCTGAAAAATAGGCAAAAAGGGGATTCTTGTGTAACAATCTGTCAAGCCAAGGCATTTGGCCGACCTGTGCCGGTAGTAATTCTCATTAGTGAGTCCGTAATTCATCGCTTTCAGCAGAATATTGAAAATGAGGTAGTATACTCACAATAGCAACATACCGAAACCTCTTCTCTATGGTTTCCAAAATCCCATCGATATCCTCCTCTCCGTCCAAAAAACCCATTCTTCTCCCAAATGTAAGCTCCATAATAACATCAGTCGCAAACCAATGAAGCCATGTACCCAAGTCAAATACCCTTCCCTCATCCGCTAGCCTCTCCAACTTATCGAACAACACAGCCTCGGTACTTTCCACAAGCGGCTCATAAGTCTTAAGATTCGTCATGGCATATACCTGAGCAATTGGGCGCTTCATCGCCTCATGGACTGATTCATCTTGAGTAGAGAAGATTGTAGGTACGACTTTCCCATGAGCCACATTGCCCATTACGGGGTAGAAGTCGGACTTTGGGTGACGTGTCCGAGTATTATAGAGGATGGGGATGGCTGTTGGACAGCTGACAGAGACATTATTTGGTCCGAGCCGAACGAAAGGTCCGTAGTGATCGTGGAGCTGGATGTGATGTTCGTGCGCGACTCCGGTGCGGACTAGTAGGAGCCGGTAAAGATTAGTGAATTTCGCGAGAAATGGACCTGGGATTTTGCGGAGATCGTGACGGAAGAGTGGGAAGAAAATGGAATGGTAAATCATGTAAAAGACGAGAGGGATGCTGCAGGTAATCAAAAGATGAAGAGGTTTAAGGCCGGTATATTGGTAAACTTGATCCATCTTTGGATGAATACTGTCTTTGAGATAATTGCTATCTCCGATGCTTTCTTGTGAAGAATTCCTGGACCAGAGAGTATCCTAGTTGAAAATGTCCAACCCCGCTTCAGCCCATTCTTGGACCCCACTTTCTTGACAGCTGGCGGCGATGAGAATCCTATCACAAATGCGTCGGAAAAAGCCACATAATGGTGCAGTGGGGCTCTAAAGCTTAGCCAAAAGCCTCCCACCGTGAGACTCGTATATCGGAGGGATGGTTGGAAGGCCAAATCTCTGACTGTTTCGAATATTTTTCAGTTCTGATATGGATTTGGACGACATTAATTAACACGGTATGGTTGCGATGGCGCACCGTACCCTTGAAGAATAAGTAAGGGAATAAATTGAATTTGATGACCTCGATGCTATTGCCTCACAAAGCACACATCATATAGTATATCACGACGAGAATTGAAATGTTTACCGGCACCATCGTAAGTTCTAAATCAATATAGGCACTGTGATGTTTGTCCTGCCCAGGTGGCTAGCTGGAGTTTCATTTGCCAATTTAACCATTGGCATAAGATATCCCCGGAGCAAGCGAATAAAAGGAAAATTTACTTGTAGATATGATTCGACTTATAAGCCTAGAGCCCGGTGAAGTGAGATATTAGCAGAACAATTCGGTCCACCTTGTTAGTATTCACTCAAGTGACAGTTCAAAACGACCCACACTCGGTAGCCACTTTTGACACCCGCAGACTCCGATAATCGGCAGGTAAGGATAGATCAAGGGTAATTGTTTCTAGAAAAGTCCCCTGAGTCCACACGTGTACGTATCAGATTATATATTTTACAAATAATCCTTGCTGGGAGAACTTGTCGACCAGGGGTAAACGCGGTGAGGGCGGGTCATCCGCAGGGACTCCGTTGGTGGCGACTCGGTTGGGCGATCGCGCCTCGTGAAGGTGGAGAAGATGAAGGTGCCGGAAGGTGGTTGAATTTGGGACATTCCCGGCACACACATATGGCTGCGAAAATAAGACATTTCAAATTAAATTCTGCTGGGTAGCGTTGTTGGTGGTAAGGGAGGTTATCAATCGATCAGATTAGATTTATTCGATCAGATAAATCCCAAGGGACGGCACGGAGGTTAGGTTTATCCAAGGTTGAGGTGGCTTGAAAAGGATTTCAGTTTCAAAGTGCTTGGTGAGCGACATTGGCTAAACTTTGTTTTTCATTTTTTCCAAGAAACTTTGGAGGAACGGGCCAGCAAATTTGAAACTGCACTGCCATCTTTGACTTGTACATTCGACTTCCCGGAAGGAATCCTGGCACCGATCTGCCAGTAAGAGCAGATGCACATGTTCTCGGACCTCACCCCCTCCCACTAATCGCCTTCCTCAATCATTCACGAGGTTATCTGATGTGCTTGGTGGATCCCCCAAGACCCTGAACATATGCAGGGCCCACGCCATCCGCCACGATCATTGGGGTACCACACAATACCCTCGGTAAACTCGTCAAACGGTTGGCCTTGGCCAATTTTCCCTTTTCCTTTTCTTGGTCGGTGCATTATGCGGGCACAAAACGATTAAGATTGAAGAGGTGCGTGTGTCACTGAGAAAAGTAATCGATCATCGCCAGTGGAGTGCCAGTTGATTTTTCTTTTCTCCGCTTGGTCATTTCCCCTGGGATCATCCTCACAATCTCTCTTGATGGGAAACGCCGCCCCGCTGGATCTTTCTGGGTTGTATCCATCTTGCTCCACTTTACCATGTCCCCCTCCAAAGTTTGCACAGATGGCGTCAGGGTCTAAGGAGTCTGTGCCGATGCCGTTCGGTGCAGCGTTGCTGTGAATTTTTTTTCCGGGGCTTCTTGGCTTCTTGGTCTCTTTCTCGCTGTTCCTTCTTAATATCCAGACAGCCGAAATTCTTTTGCTATCCATCGCAGTTCTTGCATGAAATGAACCCTGTGAACTGTACAGCAAGGCTTTGGGTGTAACGAGCTGGTCTAGCAACCCGTTTCGGTTCTGCGCCAATATCCCCACATCCAAGTTGGAAAAGACGGGTGTTACTAGTCATTTGACACCAAGCCCAGAGGCTTCCATAACGCCATTATGGGCAGTCCAGAAGGAGAAAACCACACAAAAGAAGGCGGTGGGGACAAGTTGGTATGTTCTCCCCTATTGGCCAGAAACCAGACGTCTTTGTATGCGAGAATAGGATAGCTGATAGCTGATGAACTCGGTAGGTCAGGTATATGAAGAAATGCGTGCCAACGAAACAAGGTATTGGCAAATTCTTCGCTTACACTCGCCTTCTCTTTTCGCTGGACTACACCAAGACCGATGTCCTCCTTATTCTCGCCGGCTTCTTCTTTTCCATTGCTGCCGGAATTCCCTTTCCACTCTTGGGAATTGTCTTCGGCGAATTGATCAATGATCTCAACACGGCTACTTGCTCGCCATACGATAACGTTGATGCCAATGTAGCAGATGGTGTTCAGAAGAAAGTGTTATACGTGATTTACATCACAATTGCCAACTTCTGCTTCATTTATATCCATTGCAGTTGCTGGAGCTACATAAGCGAGCGTATCGCAAGGAGATTTCGTCGACGCTATTTCGAAAGCATCATCAGACAAGAAACGGGCTATATCGAGGGGCTTCCGGCAGGGGACGTCATATCCCGACTGGTCAGCGATATCGAGGTGGTACAGTCAGGAACTTCGGAGAAGGTGGGACTTGTTGTTTCCACAATCTCGTACTTCGTCACATCGTACATAGTGGCCTTCATCAAAGTACCCCAGATTGCTGGAATGTTGGTCTCCGTTGTGCCGTGCTATTTCCTCATGACATATGTCGGTGGATACTACATCAAAAAGTATGCGGGTCGCATCACAGAGCACGTCAATATTGCCACGTCCATTGCTTCATCCAGCCTGTCACATTTGACCCTTGTGCATGCTTTCAACTCCCACGAGCGACTGGAGAGGCTGTATTCCGATCATCTCGCCGGATCAAGAATGGACGCGCTTAAAAAAGCAGGAACTCATGCGGCTCAGCTCGGTGTGCTCTATTTCATTGCATACAGCTCCAATGCCTTAGCCTTCTGGGAAGGCTCCCGCTTGATCGCAGACTCCGTCGAAGCGGGTGGCTCTGGAACATCCGTCGGTGCAGTTTATACAGTCATATTTGTTCTCATTGATGCGTCTTTCATTCTCAGTCAAGTCGCCCCATTTGTTCATGTCTTTGCGGCTGCCGCCGGAGCATCTGATAGGCTTCTGACCGTCATCAATCGCGAGTCACTGATTGACGGAACATCCGATTCTGGGGATAAAAAAGCACCGTTTGATTCAGAGGATATTACTTTCCAAAACGTCAATTTTACTTATCCATCTCGTCCGGAGGTTCCTGTTTTACAGGGTGTCAATTTCGTCATTCCTCCTCGGAAGCATACCGCAATAGTTGGCCCTTCTGGTGGAGGGAAATCAACCATCGTTGCCCTGCTCGAACGTTTCTACGACCCCGCATCTGGAGAAATTTGCATCGGAACGCAGAACTTTCGTGACCTGAATGTGCGTTATCTGAGAGGAAACATTGGCTTCGTGCAACAAGAGCCTTGTTTACTTGACCGGTCAATCCTGGAAAATATCGCATATGGCCTGGTCACCTCTGCCTCGGAACCCCATGCCGCTCTTGCTCCATTTATCATGAATTCCAGCCTAGCGGAACTGGCGGAAATGATGCGTACTGGCGTATCCGAGAAAAAGGCACTCGAGAACTACGGCCCTGAAGTTACTGAGATTGTGAGACTGGTCCGAGAAGCTGCATCTAGCTCAAATGCGCTCACCTTTATCGATGCTCTTCCGCATGGTTTTGCGACCAGCGTGGGATCTTCCGGTAGTCAAATGAGTGGTGGTCAGAAGCAGCGTATTGCGCTCGCCCGGGCCCTTGTTCGAGATCCAGCGCTCCTGATTCTTGATGAAGCGACGGCGGCCCTGGATTCGACCAGCGAACGCTTGATCCAGGATGCTTTAGCGAAAGTGGCAGAACGTGTGACTATGGTTTCAATTGCCCATCGTCTATCCACCGCAAAGGACGCACATAAAATTGTGGTCATACAGAAGGGGGTGGTTGTTGAGGAGGGATCTCATGCTGACCTAGTTTCCCATGGTGGCTCCTATGCCGAGATGGTTCGTCTCCAGAATCTTGGAAAGCTAAGCCCTAAAGTGTCAGTCAAGTCGGACTTGATCCGTGAAGCGAGAGAAGCAGAAAATCGCGAAAACCACACTGTTGATGCGAAAGAAGCTCTTCTTGAAGCCCGTGGAATCGACATCGCGGATGAAACGATATTTACTGCTGCAGACGAGAAGGGGACTGATAAAAAGAGAAAACCGCGAGAGAAAAAGGAGAAAAAGAAGCGAAAACGCTCAGGCTGGTTTACAACAAAATTTACGTTTACCCTGCTTCGCCCCAATTTGCAGTTTGTGCTGCTTGGCCTGGGCATGTCCATTGTCATTGGAGCGAGCTATACGGCAGAAGCTGTTATTTTCGGCCATACAGTCGGTAGCCTAAGCCCCTGCATTGGAGCAGATGGAATTCGACACGGTGGACACCTCTTCGGACTTCTGTTTTTCATCGTGGCACTTGTCGAGCTCTCAGCGAACGTGATAGGAGGTTGTGCCTTTGGCTGGGCGGCTGATAAAGTCCTATATCGTATTCGCGTCTTGTCTCTGCGATCTCTGCTGAGCCAGACCATTCCATGGCATGGAATGGAAGATCGCACCCCAGGAACTCTCATGACCTTTATTACAGGGGATGCAACTTCGCTGGGAAATATCACGGGAACGACTATCGGCTTGCTGCTAGCCACAGCCGTCAACCTGGTGGCTGGCCTTGTTGTTTCGTTTATCTTCGCGTGGAAAATTGCCATTGTTCTTGTCCCAACTATTCCAGTTCTGCTGCTTGCTGGTATGATGAAGCTCCGAACACAGGCCAACTTTTCCGAGCGGCACCAGAAGGCGTTTGCACGGGCGACTGCAGTTACAGTGGAGGCCGTCGACAACATTCGAGCCGTATCGGCGTTCTCGCTAGAGAAGCAGTCCTATGCTGCGTATGAGCGGGCTATGGAGGCTCCCTACCGGGAGACTCTCCGTTCTATCGCCTTTGGAAACATTTTTCTGGCCCTAGCCTTCAGCATTAGCAATCTTGTTTATGCGTTGGCATATTGGTGGGGTACGAAACAGATCACGGCTGGTGCCTACACCCAGGTGCAATTTTTCATCGTGCTACCTGCCCTCCTATTCAGTACTCAGTCTTGTGGACAAATGTTTGCCCTCGCTCCAGATATCTCAAAGGCGGGGTTAGCTGCCTCAAACATCGCCGAGTTGCTCACCACTCGGTCAGCTGACGAAGAATTAATGTCCGAAGTGTCGGCAAAGTCCATGGCTAACGATGTCTATCTTTTGGATGAAAAGATTCCAGACCCGGAAGCAGCACACCACGAAGAGCGAGCCCCAGGCACACCAGGTGCTCCTCCCGCAATGACTGGCATTGGTGCCGAACTACAAAACGTGCACTTTGAGTACCCATCACGACCAGGACAGCCAGTACTTCAGGGCTTGAGTCTCAGGATAAAAGCTGGCCAATTCTGTGCGTTGGTTGGTCCGAGTGGCTCAGGCAAGTCCACAACATTTGCAATGCTAGAGCGGTTCTACCGACCGGAATCGGGCGCTGTGGTCATTGATGGCGTGGATGTCACGCGGCAGCTTGGCACAAGATTTCGCGATGATATCGCTCTAGTTCCACAAGAAAATGTGCTGTTTGAAGGCACCGTCGCCTTTAACATTGGTCTCGGCGCTCGGCCTGGCCACGAGCCCACCCAAGATGAAATTGAAGAGGCATGCCGCATGGCCAACATCCACGAAGTTATCGAGGCCCTACCGAAGGGCTATCAAACACAATGCAGTCACGACGGGAAACAATTTTCTGGTGGACAGCGGCAACGACTTTCGATTGCTCGCGCTCTGGTCCGTAAGCCACGCATGCTGCTGCTTGATGAGTCTACCAGCGCTTTGGATGTGGAGTCCGAAAAAAGAAATCCAAGACGCGCTGGCTACACTCGCCGGGCGTACGACAATAATTGCGATTGCCCACAGACTGAACACTATTCATCGAGCAGATTGTATCTATCTTATTGAAGAAGGTCGCTGTGTTGAGCAGGGCACTCATGATGAACTTGTCCAGTGCAGTGAGACATACAGGACGAGCGTTATACACCAATCTCTGGAAACCTGATGTCGGTAACCTATATAATGAAGATAGAAGATCTATTTCTAATTTAGAGAATGCATATCATTTTTTGCAATATGCCCAAATGCCCAAATGCCTATGATAGGCGAGCCTTTGCTGAGGGCGAGGCCGCGCGCTTCCCAATAGCACGCAGACAAGCGCTAACTTATCATATTAGCCTCTTACGTTCTCGTAGAAGACCTAATCTAGTATTTTCAGCGGCCGGGTTTCCTGAAGAGGTAGAATTGGCGAACCCGGCGCTTGAATATCCCTCTTCGGGACCTCGGCAAAGTTACCCCCGCAATTCGGTCGGTTTTACTCCGAGGGTACCCGCAACTTCACGCGGAGAACTGCGCGACTGGCCAATTTGACGAGCGTGTTGTGACGTTTGTTTCTCCACGCTACCCCTCTGTGCTCCAGAATCGGTTATTTTACCCCAAGCAAGAGGATAATGGTCGTCGGTGCAATGGGAAAATGTCTATTAATGCGGATCCGCCCTGAGGACTGCTGACCATGTGCACATCGCCAAGAGCCAACCTATAAAGATGGAAGGTGCACTCTGGATTGGGATCAATCTGAGGCCCAAAAGTTGATCCTGGAGATATACACCACAATGGCGACAACTCTGACGGGTGGAAACCCGCACATCATTCAGCTTCCCGCGACGCCGTCGAATTCGCCCTCGGAGCCCCAGGCCATCGCCCAGCAATGGCTCACAGACCTGCAAGTTCAACTTGCTCACCCCGAGAGCATCAATCTGGCACCTCTCTTCCATGAAGAGTCCTGGTGGCGTGATATGCTCGCCCTGGATTGGGACATGCGGACCGTCCACACGGCTACCGAGATCGAAGCCTTCCTTCGCAAACGCCAAGGTCCCTCCGTGCTGTCCAATTTCCGACTTCAGAATAAAGGTCAATTCAAGCCGTCCTGGAATAAAGTTGTTGATAGTTTGAGTTGGGTGTCAAGCATGTTCTTCTTCGAGACAGCAGTTGGCTCTGGCTCGGGAATGCTTCGTCTGACGCAATCGACCGAGGGGCGTTGGAAGGCGTATGCCATTTATACTTCGCTGCAGGAATTGAAGGGGGCTGAAGAGCCTCTAGGCAAACGTCGACCGGAAGGAACTACAGAGTCTATGCCTGGGGGCTTGGGGGGTGGAACTTGGATTGAGAGAAGGCAGAGACAACAGGAGTTTCTGGATGAGGATCCCACTGTTCTAGTGATCGGAGCTGGTAAGTTTTGTTCAGATCACGTTCCGAGTTTGAGTGAATGGTTCGAGAAGTCGCTAATACAACATATCCATAGGCCAAGCTGGTCTGAACATGGGAGCACGTTTGCAAAACCTCGGTCTTTCCTGTCTACTCGTCGATAAACATGAGCGTATTGGCGATAATTGGCGCAAGCGCTATCGTGTGAGTTTCCCTATACGTGTCCTTCTTCGTGGCATGATATAAAGATGGACAGAGGCTGAATTACCTTTCACTAGACTTTGGTCACACACGACCCTGCAGAATTCACCCACATGGCCTACCTTCCCTTCCCTCAAAATTGGCCCCAGTTCACCCCGAAAGATAAGTTGGGCGATTGGTTCGAAGCCTACGCGAAAATCATGGAATTGAACGTTTGGACGCAAACCTCCGTCGCCTCTGCTGAGTACAACGACTCGAAAGGCGATTGGAACGTCACCGTGACTCGCGGCGATGGATCTCAGCGAGTCTTACACCCTCGTCATGTTGTCTGGTGTACTGGGCATTCAGGAGAACCCCGGGTCCCCAAATTTCCTGGTCAGGACAGCTTTCAGGGTACCGTTTATCATGGCAGCCAACATCGCGACGCGGCTGAGTTGAATGTCCGCGGGAAGAAGGTGGTGGTCGTGGGAACTGGTAATAGCGGCCATGACATCGCCCAGAACTACTACGAAAATGGTGCAGATGTGACCATGTTGCAGCGCAGTGGTACATATGTCATTACCGCCGAGAAGGGTGTTTTTATGATGCATGAGGGATTGCATGAAGATGGCGGGTAAGTTCCCAAAGAGTTCAATTTGCAGGATAACCCCTTTTTCTGATCGTTGACCCTTCTAGCCCCCCAACTGAGCAATGTGACATTGTCTCTGAGAGTCTTCCATTCCCAGTTCAGTTTGCTTTGAGCGTTCATGGGACAAAGCGCTTTGCAGAGGCCGAGAAGGATACTCTAGACGGACTACGCCGTGCGGGCTTCCAACTGGACTTCGGCCCCGATGGAGCTGGTATTGCGCGTGCTTACTATACCGCTGGTGGTGGCTACTATATTGATGTGGGATGCAGCCAGCTGATCAGCGACGGCAAGATCAAGGTGAAGCATAGCCCGAGTGGTATCGATGGATTCGGCACTCATGAGCTGAAACTCGCTGATGGGAGTGCACTCCCCACCGATGTTGTTGTATTGGCCACCGGCTACGATAATATGAGAACCACTGTGCGGAAGGTCCTAGGCGACAAGATTGCAGATCGTTGCTCTGACGTGTGGGACTTGGACGGGGAAGGAGAACTTCGTGCGGTAAGATACTCTAGCAGCAACCTATTCTTTCTGTAAATATACTAACTTCTTCCAAGATGTGGCGCCCAAGTGGCCATCCTGGCTTCTGGTATTTTGGAGGAAATCTTGCTCTTTGCCGGATCTATTCCAAATTCTTGGCCCTTCAGATTAAGGCCGTTGAGACTGGCCTCTCAAATGGCACTCGACACGAGGAGAGAGCGAGCAAGATCTAAAATGATGAAGAATAGAAGAAGTCAATAACATGCATAAATTAAGAGATTTTCTAATTACTGGTTATTGAAATATTTGCCGTATTTTTGTCAACCTGGACAGTTCTTGTGGTTGTAGAATATTTCCCCATAGTTAAGGTACCGGAGGCGTCCTGTCGGGGATAAGCGGAGATTGCGGCGGAACACCCTGATTGGTCGGAGATGGGGTGCATCAGAATGTACTCGTCCGCCGCAAAGACCGAGTTTCGTTAGACATAAATATACGCCATAGATCCTTGATAATAATCATTTTCAGTCAGATCGATTCCGCTCAAGTATTTATATTGTCAATTATTCATGCCTATCGAATCATCATGAGCGCACTTAAAACTTTGCCTGCACGACCCCTCGGCCGAAATGGACCATTGGTTCCACGCTTGGGACTGGGCCTGATGGGTTTGAGTGGCCAATATGGATACTCCGCGCCAGAAGCAGAACGACTACACTTCTTGGATGAGGCTTATAAAAGAGGACAGTGGTTTTGGGACACCGGTTAGTATTTCGCCCAATTTCGTGAATCCAATTCAGACCCTGATATCCAAAAGCCGACAAGTACGGCGATTCCGAGGACATCATAGGGAAATGGTTCGCAGAGAACCCTGAAAAGCGCAAAGATATTTTTCTTGCTACCAAGTTCGGTATCAAGTATACAGACACAGCGCCGGGCTTCACTATCGACTCGAGTCCCGCATATTGCCGCACTTCCATCGAATCCTCTCTCAACCGACTTGGTCTACCATTCGTGGATCTATACTATGTCCACCGCCTCGACAAAGTCACCCCCATCGAGAAGACAATGGAGGTGATGCTGGACCTCAAGACCGCGGGTAAGATCAAGAACATCGGATTGAGCGAGTGCAGTGCTGAGTCTCTTCGCCGCGCACACGCAATCCATCCGATTACCTGCGTGCAGATCGAGTATAGCCTATTCTGTACGGAGATTGAATCACCGCATCGGAAGCTGCTTGAGACAGCTCGAGAGCTAGGGGTCGCGATTGTTGCCTACAGCCCTCTTGCGAATGGCATACTCGCGGGAAACATTCACAAAGTTGCGGAAAGCCCCGAAGATAAGCGAAGAGTTTTGCCATGGCTGCAAGAAGGGAACATTGAGAAAAATGTGGCAATAGTGGACCAGATTTCTGAGGTTGCGAACGCAAAGAATGCAACTTTGCCTCAACTAGCGCTTGCCTGGTTGCTTGCGCAAGGTGATGATATTTTCCCTATCCCCGGGTCGTCGAAGATCGATCGACTGGAATCCAATTTGGAAAGTCTCTCTATTTCCTTGTCAAAAGAGGAGGAAGCTCACCTACGGCAATTAACGCAAGGTGTTGCCGGAGGCCGCTTTCAGAATCTGACTAGATATGCATTTGGAGACACACCGGCCCTTGAAGAATAGACATTAATAGAGATCGTTTAGGGGTTCTCATTAATGCATCCAATAGAATCAATTTATTTGTCTGTTTTCATTCCTCTTCCGTGTCTGGGGTTGCTTGGATCCACGTTTCAAACCATGAACGTGCTTCTTCATCTTCCGTTGTTGGATCTCGTGTGGATGGTTGAGTTGCGTTCTTCGCGTGGCCAAGGCCTGAGTGAGACCTGTGCATCGTGGCTCCTAAGCCCACACTATGAATGTCCAGCTCCTGAGATAGGGATGGCCTTCGGCATGAGATATGGATCTTCCCAAAGTATGGTATCGATAGTGATATGCTGTCTTCTGTGAGACTCTCCTGGCTATCGTCACTGGCCTGGATGCTTTCATCACACCATGTATGGTATGTGGAACCTTCCGCGGCAGCATCTTCAAGAGCCATAAAATTTCTCAGGATCCGAATAAGAACCAAGCCTCTTGGATCATTATTTGCTGTTGAAACTTTCTCCATCATGTTGATAGATTCGCTAATGAGCCCAAGATCACGATTTCGCTGGTGATCAAGAACATTGGCGCTCCCTTGTGTATGACCATCCAAATGCGCGAATAGAAGAGCTATGGCACATGTATACATCTTATCGTCTGTTGGACGATATGTCGGCGACTGATGTAGTTCTCGAATGGCAAGGTACCGCAAGAGCCCCTCGTGGCTAGCAGATGCGGTAGCGAGTTTACTGTAGGTCGAGTCCGTTGTATTCTGTTCAACGGAATCCGAATCGTGCGTGCATGTGAGTAGCCGGATGAGATATGGTTGGTGTAGAAGTATAATCAGATAATACTGGTGCAATTGTACCAGAAGCTTTGCCGTCTTTTCAACCGAATCATTTTCCGAATTTGTGTTTGTTCGGGATGATGTTAGCCACCAGGTGGGTGGGAGGAGCTTAGCAGATTTCTTCAAAAGCTCGTCAATGTCCTTAGTTTCGTTATCATCATGATAGCGTATATTGCAATCATTGGACGCCTCTTGAGGACTTCCATATTGTTGTATTTGAACATTCCGAGTAACGATGCGCCCAGCAATGGCCACATGGAGACACTCCAGTCTTTGCGACAATGTGCTATTCTGGCGCTGGGTTTCCCAAAATGAGCTTTCCTCTGTTATTGTGAATGGAATTCCTAGCATCAATGCCATAAATCGGTCGCTATAAACCAATCGAAACCATATATGTTCTGCACGCTCATCCCCCATTTCCGCGAGATTTTGGATACCTATTGTGCAAGCAATATTTATGGCACGGCACTGAACCGTCCAGGCCATGCGGGTGTCGCCAAGTGTGATATGGTAACACGATTGTAGAATTAGAGTTTCTACCCCGTCGAGAGAATTGACCAGAAAGTCCTGGGACAAAACGAAGCGAGTGGCAATTTCCTGGTATTTGAAAGAAGCTTCGCTTATCGATTTATTTAGATGACATTCCAGCTGCTTCGAAGATGAGGCATCAAATTGTTTGAGGCAAAGAGCAAGCTGGATGAGTCTTCGGGCGAGCACCAAGGGGTGAGCTGTGAACTGCAAACTGACACGTGGTTCGCCATGCACAATGGTGGAATTTGTACTTTCTTGTGCTTGGGATTTTTGTAGAGGTGAAGAAAATAAAGTACTGCTGCTCAGAATCACAATAGAAGTGGCTGGGTGGGGTAGGATGGAGAAAAGATAGCCACTGAGAGAGCGACCGCGCGACAATCTTTCATGGCAAATCGATCGTAAAGTTGGAGGAGCCATGAAGCTTGTTGTATCATCAGCCACCGTTTGACCTGACGAAACATTGGATTGCTGTCTCCGACCAGGCCTCGCTTCTCGTTGCCGGACGAGCTTGTTGACCAATGCTTCAACATGATCAACGCGTTGTCCAATTTCTCGGCAATCATTCAGAGGAGCTTTTGTGAACTCTTGACTGATACAGGAAACACCATGTCGCTGACAGGAGAGACAAATTGTGGCGTTCAAATCGCGTTCGCAACGTCGCTTGCGACGCTTGCATTCCCAGCAACTGAACGTGCCTTTGCGGACTTTTCGCCGTTTTGTCGAGTTTGTGTCGGGGTTTGAGCGTAATTCGACTGGCCCCTCAGCTCGAGAGGATCTATATTCCATTGTGCCATACCATCATTTTCTCTCAGAATTGATGATAAGAGAGTGATGAGAGAAGAGAGAGAAGGGAGAGAGACGAGAAAGGCCGGCAAGAGCAAGACGAAACCACGTGACCGGGGAGTTACAGTTGATCATGGGAAATGTTTGCGGTTCCTTTCAATTTCCTGTCGCTCAAAACATCAATATGGCAGACAGCATCATGGGGCTGATATGCGTTTAATTAGACCTTTTTTGGAGCCTGTGGGTGTGGGTGGCGCGTTATCAATCCCAATTGGATATGCCGACCAAGGGGCTAAGCCAAGGAAGCCTAAAGATGCGAGCCAGTGATGAAGATGCCAGTGGGGTATTTTTGGCCCCCGACTTGATCTCACCTCATCAATGGTATTATTAATAGGCGTTCTCTGCACCTTTTGGCTGCCGACCGCTTCATCTCGCAAAGCCCACGTAAATGCAGCCATGGAGAACCCACTCTTTCTTTTGTTAAAAACTTTGGTTGTCATTTTCATTATCTACAAGCTTGGATGGTTCGCTAAGAACTACTATCATGCTCGCCGCTCTGGGCTTCCGGTACATGTTGTGCCTGCTTTCACAAAGAGCACTTTGTGGCTGGTACTTGCACCGATGCTGCAGCCTCATCTGGAAAAATACCTTCCGAGCTTGATATACGATCAGATCGATGTGGCCATTCATGGATGGGAGTTTCGCCGGAAGAGATGGTATCATGATCGTCTTGGGGCTATTTTCGCCGTTGCAAGTCCGGATGAATTCACGATATGGTAAGTGTTAACGCAACTGCCAGCTGTTCGCGAACCCCAAGCTCAAAGTTTCGATTACAATGGGTTGACTCAAGTTTTTTGAAAATAGGTGCGCAGATCCGGCTATTGGCACCACAATTTTGCAAAATAGGAACGAATTCCAACAAGCCCCTATCGTGAGTAGTATCTTGGGGTTCCTGGGGTCCAATGTCTTCATGGTGAGTCTTTCCTTGACATGCATTCTTGATCTCAATTTCGGGGTTTGACAAGATTTGGTGAACAGACAAATGGCGATGAATGGTAGGTTTTCGTGGCAAGCACCTCCTTGCACAACCTGAACAATTCGTTCTAACAGTCACAAACTACAATTCAGGAAGCGACATCGCAGAATGTTCAATAAAAACCTAGACGAGCGAATCAGCGGAGTGGTATGGACCGAAACACTTCAGCAAGCTCAATCCATGATCAACTATCTCATGGAACACCCAGGAAATGAAACTCTAGAGGGCCTCCGCAGTATAGCAATAAACGTTATCGGAAAGGCCGGATACAACTGGCAACAGCCTTGGTCGCCGAATAAGTTAGACATCCCTCCAAAAAGCGCGACCGGAAAAGAAGCCTATTTTGGAATGCTAGGTCTAGTGACAACTATGATTCTGGAAGCAGCGCTGCTTCCTCGGAAAGTCATGCAGCTTCCCTTTATGCCACTCGCGTTACAGAGCATGGGGTATCATCTGGAACGGGCTCCTGGGTATATCCAGGAAATTCTTCGAAACGAAGGAGAGTCAGATTCCAGCAAGAGACACTCCGAATCTAATTTTCTAAGCTTAATGCTTCAATTCTCGGAAGAAGAGAACAGTGACCATGAGACAAAGCCTTCGCTGACACAAGAGGAAATCAGTGGAAACCTTTTCGTCTTTACTTCCGCTGGATTTGAAACAACTGCCAATACCATGGGATTTGCCGTAATACTTCTAGCCCTTTATCCTGAATGGCAAGACTGGATTCAATATGAAATTCACGGTTTAGACATATCGGGATTTAATTGGACTTACGAAAATACCTTCCCGAAATGCAAGCGCACACTGGCTTTGATGGTATGATATTCCTTGCTTTTCTTGGATCAATCCGATTGCAAAGATATTGACGGCGTTGACGATAGTTCGAAACCTTGCGGCTGTATACACCAGTGGCACACACCACCCGTGCCATCTTCAACCCCACATCGCTTTCTGGGACCGATGGCCAGATCTATAGCCTCACGCCACCCTTGGATATTTACGTTGAGCAGTCCATAATTCACTTGGATACGGCAATTTGGGGCGATGATGCCATGGATTTCCGACCTTCTCGATGGATTGATGACTCGGGGGATCTCATCACGCCTGACAAAGGTACTTTTCTACCTTGGTCGGGAGGACCACGGGTATGTCCGGGCGTGAGGTTCTCACAGGTGGAGTTTGTCGCGACCATAGCAACCCTATTCCGCAATTCTCGCTGCGCACCGCTCATTGTCCCCGGGGACAGACCTGAGGACCCCGCGCTTAGATTAAAGACGGCGATAGCAAACACCGTGACCAAGTTGACATTATCGGTCAAGGATCCGAAAGAAGTTCAACTAAAATGGACAGCATGCGGCAAGGCTGATTGAGATATAAAATTACTACATCTTGTTTATTAAGGATATGAGCATGACTCAAGAGCCTTTTATTCATAAAGTGATTATCCAATCAACCTGTCGAAGGATATTTCTGAGGGTCGGTCAAGAAAGAAAAAGCCGAATTTGGGGAAATTCAATACATTCCATTCTGGAAATTCTGCACTAGGCTCAAATCTTGTATCAACTGTCAAGCTCCGCGGGTGAGAAATTACACGGAAAGAGTTGCGCTCTTTTCACCCTTGTATATACCTGCCTGAATATCCTCCAAAAGGGTCGATCTGGAAGGTATCCATTCGAGTGTTTCCTGGGTTTTCTTGCTGGAAGTAGGATTATCCACACCGGCAAGGGCTGCCATAAAGCCTTTGAAGTATGCTGGAGCCTCTTCGGGTGTCTTCGAAACTACTGGGAGACCCAAGCTTTGACCTAGAGCTTCCGCGATATCCTTGAATGGAATACCCCCCTCCGCAGCCGCATGATACCGCGCCCCTGCAACACCCTTCTCAACAGCTAGGCGATATAGATGTGCCGCATCAAGGCGATGAACAGCTGGCCAATGGTTGAGCCCATTGCCAATATAGGCGGACTCGCCATTTTCACGCGCAATCTGGGAAAGCATATGGATAAATGCGAAATCCCCAGGGCCGTGCACAGTTGGCGAAAGGCGGACGACCGAGGCGCGTACACCCTGAGCTGCAAGAATATCCACCTCCTTCTCACTTTTAGCGCGCACGTTAAAAGGATCATCGTAATCAATTACCGAGTCCTCCGCGCCCAACTTGCCCTTCGGCAGGACTAAGGTACCCATGGTGATGACGAAAGGTTTGTTGGTTCCGATCAGAGTAGCGCCGATGGCCTGAACCGCTGCATACTCGGTGTTGGTGTTCTCTTCGTATTTGGTAAAGTCATGATTGAAGGCCAGATTGATGACTCCATCAGCTTCCCTTGCCCCGCGCTTGAGACTTTCGATGTCTTCGAGAGATCCGCGGATTACATGGGCACCCTTCGCCTGCAGCGCGGCAGCCGATTTCTCGGACCGAGCGAGTCCAATGACTTCATGGCCTGCGTCAAGGAGCTCCTGAACAACTGCTTGGCCAATAAATCCCGTGGCACCGGTAACAAAAACTCGCATTGTAGTGGTAGATCAAGTACGGAATTCGGAAGATTTTGTAAATGTTGAAAATTGTTGAAAAGTAAGTTGATGTTCTTGATATACATCAACAGACACTGGGTTTCTGGTGTCTTTTATACGCCGGGTGATGCCTCAATTCCTCTGCTGAAATCCGAAATCCGACGGAAATAAGATCGATAACCCCATGCTTTGATTCTCACTGCCAATTGCGAGTTGCTAACTCATGCCATGATAACTCCGACGGATGGTAGATTTCCCAAAATGGACTAGTTCTATATAGAATACGAAAGGTGGTTAGCACCGACCCACTCCCTAGAGCATCTGACCAATGAGCTTTGGACAAGCTCACAGTAAGGCGCCGGTCGGGACAATCGAGCTGCCGGTCTTGCCACCAACTTCATCTCTCCTTTCATTTACCCCTCATGCATCCTGATCAAAACCGACCCATTTCAATGCGGTATGAGGTAATATGCCTTCGGTATTGGCCACGCTTGAGGACGACGATCGAAGACGTCGGAAGCATACCAAGTCTCGCCGTGGATGCCGGAATTGCAAGCTGCGCCGTGTCAAAGTACGTTCTTATCCACCACCACGAATCCAAATTGAATCTAAACATGGGAAATTGCAAGTGTGACGAAGCCAAACCACACTGTGTGAAATGTGTGAAATATGGGGTAGCATGTAATTATACCCTACCTACGGGCTGTGACCTTCAGTTGGCCAAGGAGCATAAGCTCGAAACCTCTCCTGATCAAATATCCTTCGGCGTTCAACCGTTGAAACATTCTTTACAATCGTTTGCAGTTGTGGGTGCTGGACCCGACTCATTCGTATTGGAAGTTGACGGATTGGCACGCCTGAGCCGATTCCAAACCCATACGGTATACACATTTGCTACACTCCGTTCAACGGAGCTCTATAAAAATGAAGTTGTCAGAATGGCCATGGAGGTAAGTCGCCTGATCCATAGTTGCAGAAATGTAGACATGATTATACTAAAGTTTCCGAAGCATCCATTCTTGATGCACGTCATTCAGGTTATCACGGCAACACATGACCGATTATTAGCTAACCCAGGGAACGGAAAGCGATCTTTGGTTGAGGCCTATCACTGGTCGCGGGGAGCTGCGTTACTGAATGAAAAGATTGCATCTCCGATACGACCCCAGGATCGCGACGCTCTCTGGGCTTCTGCCGCCATGCTGGGCATTGCCAACGTTACTTCTCTTGAGGCATCTACCCCGACAGAAGCATGGCCAATGAAGCCAGATGATTTGTCCGATCTAACATGGCTTCATTTGACTCGGGGTAAAATGGCTCTCTGGGAAGCCACGGATCCTTTACGACCCGATAGCATTTTTCATTTCATGAAAGACGAATATGTCACAATATCAACCGAGCCTTGTCTCTTAGAGGCCCAAAGCATGCTACCAGGATTCGTTGAGCTTTGTCGTCTCGATGAGCCACTGGCCTGCGACCGCAATCCCTACTATTCAGCTGTCTCCATTCTGTCACAAGTGCTACCGATCAAATGTACGCGGGCAACCATGAAGAATTATCTTGTGTTCCTCAGCTTCATGAAAGTCCCCTTTAGAAACTTGTTACATCAAAAAGATCCACGCGCCCTCCTTGTCATGGCCCACTGGTATGGGGCTATGTGGGAGTCCTTATGGTGGATCGAGAGACGAGCCCGGTTGGAATGTCAGGCAATTTGCTTGTATCTCGAAAGGTGCCATGGAAATGAGCGAGATATCCAGAATATGCTTTTGCTGCCACGGATACAATGTGGATTCGCATGATAAAAACATACAGAACCGCAATTTGGGGTGCCTAGTATATATAGCCACACGCTGTCTGATTCATAGAAAAGAAAAATATTTTAATAATCAAATAGTTTACTCAGAAGCGATTCAAAATTTAGGTAGAATATTTCTCCGTTGATAAATAGTCTGATGCCTTTTTTTCCATCGGCAAAGACTGTTTGGCGGAACGCATATGAAAATGGTCCGTCTCGCAAAGCCGGAACCAGAGCCAGAAGCAAGGTCAAAGCATAACTTTTTCAAGGCTAGTGCTTGTATAAAAGCGAAAGTAGATCCCCAGAGAACATAATGAGAAGAAAGAATATTTCACGATAGCATTCATTGTGATGTCGTAGACCGCCTAGATGAAGGACGGAAGGGTCGTAGAAAGTCAAGGTCGGATAGCTCCGGTTGCATCGTTTGTATATAGGATCGAGGTCGCAAATCCCATAATTAGCGATTCCGAGTGATGTAAGAGGATACCAGTGCCCCAATGCAGGCAATGCAGGCAAGAAACATGAATGCAGCATCGGCAGTGGCGCGCGTACAGCGCTTCTTAACTACTCCGCCATCACGACACCACTTAGCACCATCGTCGTCGTAATAACAACCTCCACTGATCAACGGGTTATCCCAGGTACTTCCACCAACTTTGTCATCGTCGCAACTAGTACCACGAAGGGCCACAGCGTAAGCCTAGAGCATCAAAAGTAAGCTTCCACCTCTGAATGGCTTGGTATGTTGCTTTGTCGAAAGCGCACGGGCAAAGGGCATAACATACGATACCGGCAGCTAGGAGAGAAATTGCGGTGACACCATCAAGAACCCAAGAAATGATTCCCTTGAGACGATCAATGAACATTGAGGCAAACCCAATCGCGGCAGCAATAATTCCTAGGGCGCCCGTGAAGGCGGCATAGTTGGTTTGAGATGGGACCTTGCCATAATATTGTTGTCGAGCAAGTAAAATTGAAATTACGAGTACAATAATTGAAAATATGGCCTGGGTTTATGATCAGCTTTGGAATAAGAACATAGGAGTAGAAGTATCCCACCTGGAAAAACCGGACAATGCTGTTGATGATCTGCATCCTGGTTTGCTTATGGTTGGAGGTTCAGTGTGGATGGCTTTGTGGACGAAGGGAGTTGAAATCAAGGCGGGACAAACGGCTACTATTTAATTTCTTGCCTTTTAATGAGGATTAAGATGGGGGCCTCAAGCTTGTCAAATAGAAGCCTCTTTTGAGCCCCGCGTATCGCTGCAAAGGGGGCGGGAAGCCTCCTGCTTGGCGCTAAATTGGGGCCAAAAGGCTAGAGGGGGCCACCCAGGGCACAACCCAAATAGAGGACGAATGATATCCCCTTGCAATTTTTAACCGCCCCATTTAGCGGCTTCCCTGGAGTTGAAAATGACCAGGACTCTATTTTTAGTGTATCTGCCCAACATATCACTTCAGAATGAGGGATCTGTATGAACACTGGCACGGGCGGCTCACAAGGCGATCAGCTACTAATTTTCAACGTGTCCGGTGTTCGCTAGCATGATCAGTGTTTGACCAAGCGAATTTGAAGTTATTAGTTGACTCAAAAGCACTCTGCCGGCTTGAAACGTCTTGGCTGTAACCCCAAACTAGAGTCATAGGATATCGTGCAAGAAATTGTGCGGAGTATTGAGACCCCTTTGGCAAGCTGCCTCTAGAGTCGAAGCCATAAGGGAAGTTTGAGTGATTCTATTGCTGGGATTTTCATGTTGTTTTTGCCTATTTGATTTATTCGCCGGTTCTAACCATGCCCACGGAATAATATTTGGCAACTTCTGGCACCCAACCCCTCCTCTCCCTCCAATTCTAGTGCCGAGTGACATCTTATCCGTTTTTGTTTAATGTCTTGTCATTAAGATAGACGTAATAGGCCGTAGCAATGAGCGTAACTCCAAGTGATTCTCATCTCTTCAGCCTAAGTTCAGCTGTTAAATATAGAGACCGAAAATTCTACCTCAAAGCCAGCATAAAAGTCTAGTATAGCCTAGAATATTGACCTCATAACTACAGAAGAAAACATGGAAAAGAGTAGTATATATTCAAGATTTGAAAGCCAAGGTTGTAAAACTTTATGAACCAGCAAAATGTTATTCAAGTATTTACCGCCGTTTCCTCATATAGTAGTACTAGTAGTATCCGGGCCTTCAAATCACAAGAGCGCAATACATTTCATCTCAACATCAGTATATTCAGGGATTGACTTGACCGCAAGGCAACTGTTTCATCCGCGCATGCCATTATTAGGTTATTATTCTGTATCGGGGTAGATGTTTGCTTACGTTCGGACGGGTTTTATCTCGCTAAACCACTTCAAATACGTCTCGTTCATCTTCTCAAAATCCTCCATGTCGGCCAGAAAAACATTAACCTCGACCATCTTCTCCAAGCTGGAGCCCGCTGATTCAAGTACTGCTTTCAGGTTTTTGATGCATTGATTCTAAACCAGATAGGGTTAGAAGAAGTTCCAACTGAATTCACGAAATTCAGACTCGATAACATACCGCACGATCCTGGACGGTTCCGGAGACAATATTGCCAGTAGAGTCCTTTGGAAGTTGACCAGAGCAGAAGACAAAGCCATTGGCGACAAGTGCTTGGTTGTAGAACGGCTGAGGAGGAGGAGCCACCTCTGTATTGACTGCTTGTCGACTAAAAGACATGCTGGCTATGTTCTCTTAAATAAGGAAAAGCTTTTTCCTGAAATCTTTCGTTGTTGGTCGGAGAGTTCTCTTAAGTAAGATTTGAAGTCGCATGGTTGGAGTAACTCCAGGTTGTCTTTTCACACCCGAATTTAACGAAGAGCCGGCAAATAGGGACCTAAATGATTGGAGAAATTCATCCACATCCACACCGTGACCCTGGGTATCCATGAGAAGCCGCGGCTATTGCTTTCTGTCGCATTTGGAGCCTAGTACTTTTCGTTTCAAGATTCCTTGCTCTCTCCCTTCAGTTGCAGATTAGTTCCACACGCTTTGCCTCTTCGTTCTCGCGCACTCGATATGGAATGCGGGGCCCTAATTTTTGGGACTGGCCAATCCTTATAATTACTTATGCGTTATCGAGGAGAGTATCTACACGATGTAAACCGACTCCACTATTCACTCGACGAAGAAACTTTTACCGGTGAGGGATTTTTAGCAACATTTAACTCTGAGAAAAAGTCGAATATTCCAGATTTTGATGCGATGATAGCCAAAAACTACGAAGTTAAGAAACCTACGTACTTCATGCAAGAATTGAAATACTTTGTGACCGTTCCTTACCCACGGTTCTAATCATTGTCTTGCAATGTCTCCTGATGATAGCTGCATCTAGAACGAGAGCTGGCTTCGGCACACCGACCACATCTTGGCCGACATAGAAATCTTTCAGTTCCTGCTGCGATGCCATGGTCGATTTTTCTGCGTTCAAGTTGCAGACTCGGATACTAGTTTCTACCCGTATCGTTTATCAAGGCCATCTATTATATATCCCCTTGGATATCAAAGCCATGGCAGCTGGATTTCGTCGTTTGGTATGATTGGCCGGCAACGCGCGAGGCAAAATCTATGAGCGGAGGTACATTGTACATCTTGCTCTGGCGCACCTGTTATGGAGAGCCGGTGGGGCGGAAGCCGAATGCGATAAACTTTTATTATTCCTTTCTCGTTAAGAAAACAACTTACTTTGGTGATTCTATATTAGTCAAAGCTGGGAAAAGTATTTGGATCCTACTAGGAAAGTTCTATCAAGTTTTACTCGTTGGACAGAAGTGGGGCTCGATTCGATATCTCGCTCGCTCGTAAACACCTAGTTGAGCTCACAAGAATCAGCAATTTTGCTCAACAAAGTTTGGTCATAAAATAATCCGGTTCAAACATCCCCATACGTTGCATTAAAGGCATTCCTTTTCAGTTCAGATATTGAAGTTGAGTGTATAATGGCCCTAGAGTTAGAAATTGCACCGGAATAATCTAATAACAGAATCGAATGAGGTGCGGACGCTCAAGTAATCTGACTATGGCTTTTTGCTGTCATGTAGTGCCTAGTGAATTCTTTTTCTTTAAAAAAATGGGGTTGAAGCTCATTTTTGCCATTAGGGGTTCTACGGCGAAGTCAACTATTTTCTCTGGGAAGGGCGTGCCGATAAACTAGATTCTAAAAAGGGAATGGGCCAAATGGCTGCAATCTCAATTTCCATTTTCAAATTCCTCGTCGCTAAATGCCCTAACTCTCTTTATAAAGGCGACAAACGGCTTCTACCGTGGTATTACCTCCTGACAAAACAACACCAACATCCCATCCTCCCTTTCCGCCTTCCTTCATCACAATTCGGCGGAAGTCCTCGTCAAACAGGATGACTGCAAAGGGCACAGCAGCACTGGGCTCAATGAAGACCTTCAGCCTTTCCAGAAGGAGCTTCATGGCATCTTTGATTTGTTGTTCGGTCACGGCGAAAATCCCCCCTAACTTTCTTCTGATCAGAGATAACTGTCCAGTTGATCTCTCCAACAGGGGTTCGAAGGCCATCGGCGATGGTTAGGGTGCTGACTGTAGGGATCCGAGATCCATAAGCGAGACCCCGTCGACCATCATCACCACCCTCGAATGACGGCTCGGCTCCGAACACATTTGTGGAAGGTTTGGTTGAGAAATAAGTGGCGGTCCCTGCGAGCAAGCCTCCTCCGCCCAGAGGTGTAATGACAGCATTTAACACTGAATCACCTTTGGGGTTGTTTTCAGTATCAGAATCTTTCAGTAGATCCTCCACCTGCGTTTGGAGCTCAAGGCCCACGGTGCCTTGTCCTAAAATAATATCCGGGTGATCATAAGGAGGAACGAGGATAGCACCCGTCTCCTTAATGACTTCTCCAACTATAGCCACACGTTCTGGCTCAGTAGACCCGCTGAAAATCACACGAGCGTTGTAGGCACGAGTCCCGGCTATTTTGGATTTTGTGGATATTGACGGCATCACGATATGGGCAGGAATGTTCAATGTGAATGCCGCAAGTGCTAGAGCCTGAGCATGGTTACCTTCACTATTGTTAGATTTGTCCCAAGCTAGAAGATTGTCCTGCTTACCAGAGCTATGTGTTGTCACGCCGCGCTTGCGTACCTCATCAATCCCCAATTCGGAGCAGAGTCTCAATAGCGCATGAAATGCGCCCCGAGCTTTGAAAGCTCCAATTTTCTGGAAATTTTCGCATTTGAAATAAAGTCGAAAAATGGGCGTCGCAGGCTTCTGGCCTTCAAAAGCCGTACCCTTGAAGGCAGATTCCTCCTGGGGTGTTGAAGCAATGCGATCGAGGGTTTTTGATCTCAATACAGGAGTTCGATGGATATATGGGCTAATCAAAGAATATGCAGCCCTGACTGAATCCGGAGTGAGCACAGGGCAGGTATTATGGTCCGCCATAGCGTTTGAATAGTGAAATAAGGTGAAGAGAGGTTGTACTAATGCTGTGGGAATGTACAGTCTAGTTGAATAAGGACACAGCGTTGGGTTTTATGGGTTGATCTTGTTAATTCAGACGTTTCTTAGATTTCTCACATTAAACACTGCACTATTTTGGGTACATTGGCGGAGTATACAGGCTGATATATCTCCCTGGTGGAGATTAGGCGTTTTGAATGAAAGATTGGCTCGTTCCCGCGCGCCCCATTGGGAAGGTGGGGATTTTCGCAGGCGCAGAAACATCCTATACGAACTCGGATTGGACGAGGCCGACCCCAAAAAGGTTGCAATGACTGGTTACCACCTCATGATTACTCCATGAATATGAACCAATAGACAGCGCCGAACCTGTGCCTCTTAACTTCAGAAATTGGAGTCTTGCCGTGAGACCAATGCCTTCTCCAATTTTCGTTGGGGAACCATGTCATACCCCAAGTAGAAAAGGCACGGGGTGTGTGAATGTAACTGCAAGTATTCTTGAGGGAAATTGAATTTCTCGCTATAAATCACCGAGAACAGACTTCTCCTGATACCATATCGGAATTTCAACATGCCATCATTTGTTAATGAAATTCTCCAAAGGCCACTCCAAGTGGCCTGTATCCAGATAGCAAGTGGTATGAATGAGTTTCTCCGTATTGTTACCATCAAGCTAAACCACTGTTCTAGGTCCCGACAAAGCCGCAAATATTGCTCAAGTGAGGAAGAAGGTCTTACAGGCGGCCGCTGGAGGTGTTTCCCTTATTGTTCTTCCGGAATGCTTCAACTCGCCATATTCCACTGCAAGATTTCGCGAGTATGCCGAGCCCTTATCATCATGCCCCGACTCCACGGAGGCACCTACCTTCGCCGCATTGCAAAAGATGGCTCAAGAGGCCGGTGTGTTTCTCATAGGAGGAAGTATCCCTGAACGTGACCAGGCCGGGAAAATCTATAATACCTGCGCGGTGTACTCTCCTGAAGGGAAGTTGCTTGCATCTCATCGCAAAATGCATCTATTCGACATCGATATCCCAGGCGGCATGTCATTTCGGGAATCAGATACCCTATCACCTGGCAATAAAATCACGATCGTGGATTTGGATGGGTTCGGGAAGATTGGCATCGGAATATGCTATGACTTGCGTTTCGCGGAACTTAGTATGATTGCAGCTCGAGAGGGTGCTTTCGGACTAATTTTCCCCTCCGCATTTAACACAACAACTGGACCGCTTCACTGGGAGCTGCTTGGTCGTTCCCGCGCAGTCGATAACCAGGTCTACAGTATTCTGTGTTCGCAATCAAGGGCGCCACCACCTGCATACCCTTCCTGGGGTTACAGCATGATCAGCGATCCGATGGGTCGAATTGTTGCCGGGGCCAAGGAGAGCGACGACATCATATATGCGACTTTGGAGCCAGATGTTATCAGGGAGTCTCGCCAGGCGATTCCTATTAGCAGCCAGAGGAGATATGACGTGTATCCGGATATCGGAGCGTTCCCGATCGTTTGAACTTGATCTGAATAAGAATCGATGGACATGGAAAGGTCTAATAATCCGTGTGCCCTGTGTAGTTAGAAATTAGAGCAATTAAATGCTTGCTTCAAATAGTGAAGGGGGATTCAAAGCTCAGAGTTGGGGTACGATGCTTGGGTGGGTCTCGTGGCAATCGATTGGGACCCGCCGAGGCCGGTCTTGACCGGGTCAACTCTCATAAAAGTCGCCTTGCATCATCCCCAAAGAACCATAGGCTCCTCGCCACATATAATCCTCGGGTCTTCTCTCGTCTATCTGTCCCGAGGAAGCCATGTACAAGCCGGCTCCACGGCGCCCAAAAAGGACAAATATCGTTCGGTCCCGGTCTGGCTGCCTGGAGTGTCGACAACGCCGAGTGAAAGTATGCTTTACCCGATTGGATCATATAAAAAGAACAATGGGCTAATCATGATCAGTGCGATGAGAAGCAGCCATCATGCGGTGCATGTGTGCGCCGCGGAAATAAGTGTGAAGCTGTTTCTCCCAATTTCGAGTTCCGTGATGGTGTTGTGCATGGCACCAAATCACAAGGCGCTCGCCACACCAAACGGAAAATTACATACAGGAAAGAAACACCCACCCAAGGCACAAAGAAAACTGAAGACTCGCTTCGATCTGGGTCTGAATGTCCTTTGGTCGAATCCGACGATATACGCAATGCTCTCACGCCTGTGCCTCAACCAATCGAACAGGAGTGGCTTTTTTGCAGTCCGCCAACACCTCAAGCTGTATCCTTGTTTTCGATGTCTCCATTATCAGAGCAAGCTATAATGAGATCTCTGATACGAACCGAATGTGAGCTTTTCTATCTCACACATTGGGAGAATGCTTGTGTACAATCACTCCCATCATTTCGGGGACAACTCCATGCCATGGCTGAGGAACATGAGCCTCTAATGCAAGCTTTACTTGCTCTCTCCGCTTGCAATATGAGCCGATCTCTACCAGAAGGAACGGAACGGGGAACTGGAGCATCACATTCACACATTACATACCGCCCAAGGCGTGACTACCTCTTGTCAAGCCAACATTACTACGGTTCTGCAGTCAAGCAAATCGCAAGGACTATTACTAAGGGTACATCCAGCGATCAATCACACACTTTGATGGCGATGGTTCTATGCTGTCTTTTTGAGTCTGCGATGGGAAACTTTAAGGGTTTTGCTTGCCATGCCCAAGGCGTTGACACATTCATACACACACATCTCACGCCAATATCGTCGGATCCAATAGGTCGTGAATTGACTGAAGCATGGGTTCTTGCCAAGTACCACACTTGGTGGCTCAGAATTAATTTCAGCTCGTTCTCCTTTCAACTCAGTCAAGGCTCGCTTTGTCTATCTCCGAATATCTTGAGCATGCTTCGCTCAATCAATGCACGGAGAGCTATACTCAAGTCGATTTTGTGCGAATCATATCGTCTCAATAACATAGCTCTTCTACAGTTGGGGCCTAGTGGCATAAAGAACTCAGAGGTCACCTTTGACGAGTGTCTTGCATCTTTGCAAACTGAATCCAAGAGGCTAGACGAATGGCACTCCACAATTCCGCAGTCGGAACTCCCCATCGAATCATTCTCGGGGTTTGTGGACTTTGAAAAAGAACAGTATCATCCACTTGTGTTCAAATCGCATTACTTTGCAATGAACTACGCCTACTATGTTTGTTCCCGAATCATGCAATGTACTGCGCTGCTTCGGGAACTACAGTCTACGCGCAATCAATCATTTGACCCTGGCAGGAAAGAGGTTAACTACTGGATGACTATCCTGGCTCGTATTACATCTGGACTTGACAAGCAAGATTGCTTCAGGAACAATGTTTACTCGATCGGAATTTCAAGTCTCCTTACTGCTTGTCTTCTTCGATGTCACAATATAACGATCGGGAGATGGATCGAGAACTTGCTGTATGAATGGACGACATCACACATCTTGGAAGAGGGAAGCTTTCCAGTTGCTCAGGCACTGCAGGCTGTTCGACTGATCAATGAAGAGAAGGCGGCCGATAGTGACATTTACGCAATTGCGTTGCCCGAAGATGATGGTGGTGGTACCGGAAAGTTCATGTCGTATCATAGCCAGCATTTTGACGAAATTGTCATCACAGGTAGAAGAGGGATGTCAGGCCGCTTATATTCTGAATTGGTTCCAATCAATATCGAGGGTTAAATACTAAAGGATCATGGAGCACCCAGAGCTAGTTAACTAAACGAATCTCATACTTCGGTCATCCCAATTGGGTTAGCGCGGTTCTCCAACATATCGAGTGTACACGTGACCGGTCTAGACTGCCGTTCCCCGCAAACGCGACCGGAGGCTGCTAATAACACGCACTGGATAACTCCAAGAAATCGTGGACAATTCGGCTCAAGACTAATTCGTCGAGGGCATCTCTCCTTGGTCCAGTTTCTGGAATATTATGAATTGATTGGATCGCAGTCATGAGTGAAAGAGGCTCGGAGATTGTCTTCCGGGCGGAGAACATTCCGGTCCGGTTCTTCAAAGCATGCCGGTGGTGTCGTCGGCAGAAGATGCGCTGCGATGCACGAAATCAAGTCCCTTGCTTCCGCTGTCGCTCAACTGGCCGTGACTGTATTCTCGATCCCATTGAAGACACCAGGAGACGCAGTGACCGTCGACGAAAAACGACCACCCCGGGACGGTCAGGCCATCTCAATTCATGCTTCATAATCCTGAGTGCTGATTTATTTAGATTTAGTAACTCGGCAGTAGCTTCGCCGTTGGATCATCGAAGTGGTTTCCATACACCTGCATCAAGAGAACGCGAATACTCTCCAGCTGCTGGGCATGATACTTCCTTCGATGCTTCCATCGACTTACTGCCAGAGGCATCACCTTTCAGAGAACCTAGACGGTCTCAAACTGCTGATCATCATGGACCGGAATCGCAGCAACTAAGCCCAAATGATATGGTTGCCCCGGCTTCGGCAGTTCATTCGATGTCTGTGAATCTACTCGGTTCCGACGATGTGGGTCGTAATTCCGTTGATCCGTTGATCCAAGATGCACTTGATTGACAGATACTTCAGATATTTATGGAAAATTCATCTGGTGGAGATCCTCGGGGAGACATCATTGCTCGCGATATCATCACGGAAGAACGTGCTCGGGTGATGTACGAACGGTATGCAACCCGACCCCATATGGGAGACACTCACATTCAACCCGGAATAAATCTCATAATCTTGTCATGCAGATTTACCGGCGGTATGAAGAATTTCTTGGGTTTGTTTGATCCGATCCGAGACACATTTGATTCAATACGGTCACGCTCCCTGTTTTGCTTCACTGTTATCATTTACTTGGCCAGCCGTGCCGTCGTGGATCTCCGGAGCGATACACATATGCAACGGGTTTTACAAGACGAGGCTCAGAGGTTGGCCGAAGATAGCTTCTTTGAGCGCCCTACAAAGCTTGAAACAGTACAGGGAATGATTCTCCTGGCTGCATACTCAGAGAAGACATGGTTCTCCACCGCCCTCATCTTGAGAACTGCATTAGACTCTGGGCTCGAAAAGTCGCTCGACAGACTGCTGTCCCAAGAAGACGTCCCAAGAAGCTCGCTTTCAGCCTCCATGGCAGATCGTCAACTAGTGTGGCAAACGCGAACATGGCTCATCAGTTTCACTCTAGAATTAGATGTGGCCTCTGGAACAGGTCGAAAGTCGCGTATCGGAGAGGTTGATATTATGAAATTGCGAAGGTTTCTGGACTATCCACTTTCTCTTCCATCTGACATGCGAACAGTGTGCATTGTTGAACTCCATCAACTTCGAGGTAAGAAGATATTTACTCTTTTTTATTTCATCTATCAAGGCGAACGACTAACCCAGTCTAAGGGAGCTCCCGTATGGTGATCGAAAGCTGCGGAGAAATCCGTGACATTGTGTCAACGGAGCTACCAGCCATTATGGCGAGATTACAAAGCTGGTGGACCACATGGGATGAAATTCACATGAGTGAGAACTTCCACCCCTCATACGACAACCCCACGGCTGCTGACTACTTTGAAAGATAATGGATTCCATGCGGGAGCTTTTCAACGAAGTAGCTTAAAGCTTATGCTTTTATATGCTAGGATCTTCGTCTTTTGTGCTTCGCTGGCCCGCATTCAGAAATTACAGCCTACTTCGTCTAATTCTGATACTGAGACCATCGATCAGGATGTCCTGAATTTGTGGCAGTCACTCATTGCCACGATTATGGACCAGATGGCATTTTTAATCAATGAGCCAGCCTACCGATGTCAGCTGTCATGGGCACCGACCTACCCGGCCCTAACAATTGCCTTTGTCAGTAAGTGTGACATTTTGACCCCGACTTGCTTGCATTGGGTAGACATGCTTATCTACAAACAGCGACTTTTGCGCTTCGCATTGCACGCTGGCGCCCAAACATGATAGACCAAGACCTTCTTTTGGAAAGAGCGGAAAAGATCTGCGACTTCTTGAAGCAGCCGCCCTACCCGGACATCCACCGCACCGTCTCTATCTTCGTGAACTATGCACGTGCTCTCATTGCGAGCCAGCGTCCACAGAGCAATGACAGCGCGGAAGGGCCTAATGTATCGGAGCAAGGCGATGGGTCCGTGCCTTCTTACAGGGGCCCTGATAGTCCCGTGCCGAACCCCCCTCCTTTGGCAACACTAGATCCTCGCTACAGACCCGGGACTTCCATTCCAAGTAGCAAGGATCCAAGCATTGCCCCGCTTCCAAACAACGATACAGCTGCGACAGCTAGACCGCCACTTCCAAGACTTCCAGATACAATGGAAGCTCCCAACTGGACTATGTCCAACTCTATTGCGGATTCTTTCGGTCTATTTGAAGAGGGACAAAACGATATATTCGATTTCCTACCAATGATGCCTTCACTGCCACAATAGGCTCATGAGATAATGAGATAATGAATCTGATGATCTTCTAATTTGAATTGACGTGGGTGGACCTGGAAAATCGTAGTTAGCTTGGACTACAAAGACGGTCTCTTGTTGCTAGTAGTCCGTCGATCAATCAACGGACTTGTGCAGCTGAAAGCAAGATTTCGGGCCGCCACACAGTATCAACCTGTGAAAATTCACAAGAAATTGCGCGTGAATGGCAAAGTAACCCACAATGCGAGCAAAAAGAACGCAGCGGAGGTGGATCTAGGCTTCGGAGACGTCCGTCAGGACCGGGGCCTGACCGGGCCGGATCTGTTTTGCACTAGGAACCGGCCCCGGTCCGTCTCCGACCCACTTACTCAAATTTCGAAGTATACCGTCCCCTTTCATTGGGTCGTTTCTAAGATCGCAAACATAATAGTTTGGCACACTATGCATGGTTGCAAATTCTAGATGTAGTGAGTCAAGTTCTTCGCAGAGATTTCGCCCCACTATTGGTAATGGCGAACAAAAGCTCTAGTATATAGTGGCTCGTTCACGCAGTTTGGAGACTTGAATAGTATAGACATGATCCACAGGCTCTCTTCCTTCTCTTTCTGTATCTGAATTTTGCTGCTTCACTTCCAAAATGGCAATAAACTCGGGTCACTCCTTTCTATCTGGCATTGCCAAAAATTCCCGAGGTACGACGACCCGATGTTACTGTCTCTTGACTTAGCCTCTAACAGCTTCTAGACAGGAAACCTACTTCTAATGAGAAAGAAACTGGCTCTACAATCTCCAAAGATGACATAATGGATAATAAGAATTATTTGCTGGTTGATCTACCTACCCGTGAAACACTTGTCGAGTTCACTGAGGACTCCGAAGCAAACCCAAACAATTGGCCTCTTGTATGCTTGGATATTCCTTTTGTATACAAAACATCTAGTCATTCGAAGGTACTAACAGTTGTCCTAAATAGTCTAAAAAGGTTTACAATGGAGTTATTGCACTTATCGTTGTGCTCAATAGTGGAATATCCTCCTCTTTGCCTAGCAATGCAGTCCCCGCTATCATGCAGGATTTCAACCTGTCGGGCGGCGGGCAAAAGGTCCTACCAACAGCCATTTTTCTGATTGGTTACTGTATCGGACCCCTCATTTTTAGTCCACTCAGTGAGACTATCGGACGGAGGCCCGTTATTTTTTGGACTTTCACTGTGTTTTGGCTCGGCACATTGGGTTGTGCTTTAGCGCCAAATTGGACCTCGCTGTTGATCTTTCGGGTCATCTGTGGAACTATGGCTGCAGCGCCTCAGACTGTTGTCGGGGGTCTTTATGCAGACATGTTTTCCGATCTGCGAGCTCGTGGTCGAGCGATGGCGATGTATATGTCGGTATGGTGATATACTCCGCGATGATCATCACAACAAATAATATAATTCTAACGTCATTCCCAGGCAACTAGCTTCGGGCCTATCATTGGTCCTATCATATCCGGGTGCTCAGTTCAATACGGTTGGCGCTGGACATTTCGGATTGACTTGATCCTGAGTGGGTTAACCTGGATAGGATTGCTCTTTCTATCAGGTGGGTTGAGCTTCATTCGTACTGAGCAGCAATCAGTCGGCTAATTTCTTTTGTTATAGAAACATTCTCTCCTGCTTTGCTTAAGAAACATTCCAGAAAATTGAGAAAGGAGACTGGATCCGATCGGTATATTGCTCCGCAAGAGCTGAAGTCCAATGCGGCTTTTACCCTCACCCAAACATTCACCCGTCCTCTCACAATGCTCGTGTTCGAGCCTATCGTGCTTTTTACCGGAATTTTCATTTCGCTTGCCTGGAGCATGGTATTCTTCTATTTCCAGGCATACCCCATAATTTTCCAGCGTGAGTGTCTCCACATCATGGTCTGAATGATTTCTAAGACTAATCCTTTGCAGAGACGTACCACTTCGATGTTGCGAAAACATCTCTTACATACATTCCAAGTGAGTACAATATTTCTTCATGCCGAGAGAGTACACGGAACTTGAAACTTATACATCGCAGTGGGTATTGGCGCCGCATCGTCCTGTCTATTCGCCCTCTTCTACGACGCCTTTTACGAAAAGGCAAAAAAGTCCGGAAAGCGCTGGGCATCTAGTCCCGAATATCATCGACTTCCCACTTCTTGTGTCGCTGGCCCCTGCCTCACGATCAGTCTATTCTGGCTGGCCTGGTCGGCAAAGTCCTCCGTTCATTGGATTGTCCCCGTGCTCTCGGGATTCGTCTTCGGAGTCGGATACCAAAGCATTTTCATCTCGCTTCTCACCTACGTTACCGATGCATACCGTATCTACTCTGCCAGTGCCTTGGCTTCTTCAATGATCCTGCGAAGTATTGCCGGTGCTCTATTCCCTCTCGCCGCGGATCCGCTTTACGCAAAGCTCGGAGTTTCATGGGGAACATCGGTTCTTGGATTCGCTAGCTTAAGCTGTATCCCTATCCCGTTCGCTTTGCTCTATTTTGGACCTTGGATTCGAAAGCAAAGTGCTTTCTGTCAACGCCTTTTGGAAGAGGATATGCTCAAGTCCGGTGGGGCCAGAACGCCACAGGAAGCATAAAAAATTCCCACTTTGTGGAATCACGAATTAATGACAAACAGTATCTTTTCTGTGAGGTTGCTGGAAAAAATTGCATTTGCATGACCTGGTCGTTGAAGAAATTGGATTTATAATTTGTTAGCCCATTGCTGAAGTCATATTAATCACAGTACTATAGTAGATAATTCTAATCTTTTACTTTTACCAACTGATATAGCATATTTTAGTCCATAGTAATGAAGTATAGCTCTAAGCTCTTGTCAAGACAAACTTTTCATTGACTTAGCTCAGTCTTTTCTAATGTTGTCCAGCGCAATATCCAGACATCTGGATTTTCAAGGGATGTGTCGTCCACTGCGGACGGGCCCTTGAGATCTCCATATATATGTTGTTTCTGCTCAGTTGGAGTCTCCAACGGATCGATATCAAGCGACATGTTTGGCTCGAAGCCGAACCCGGTACCGGCTGCGTCTTTGTTGAGAAAGGTATCGAAATCGAAACTTTCCAGGATGTCTGGGTTATCCAAAGCACCAAAGTCGAGATTGAAGGCATTCTATAAAATATTTCGTTAGAAATTCGCGCAAATATTCAGAAGTTCGAGTGAGCGGAAACATACATCGGGAATACTTTCGTTGTTGGGTTCGGATTTGAAAGGTTGATGGACCACCGATGTCGGTATTTCCGGAAGTGGTGAGTCCGCTGGATTTTTCCGCCATGAATTTGGCTGTATTGCGATAGGATGACTAGGTGCTTTCTTCCTCTTTTTGCTGCGCAATTTTGATGGTATTGCTTGCGGTGGCGGGCCTTGAGGTAGCGGCGTTTCCTGGATAGTTCTTGCTTCGTGGGGTGTGGGAGTTATCTTCAACTGAGAAAATAGATAAGAGGCTCTCGATCCATAAGTCTCTTTGAGTCGTACAGCTTCTCCGCTATGTACGGCACTGAATCCAGCTTTCAGCCTTCGGTAACGACCTTCGTCCAGAAAGCACTCTGCCGCGTCTATAGTATTGAGAACAGCCCTTATCATATCGTAGTAGTGCTGGAGCTCATCATTGAACTTTCCAGAATCTTGTGTTTGAAATGGCGTCCCATTTCCATGATTCTCGATATTCAAGTTGAAAACCTGGATTGACGTGGTCAATTGCTCGAATTTCCTCTCGCTCTCAATCTTTTCCACGGCTAGCATTTGCAGAAGTTCGCGCTGCTCTTGGGCTCTATTCACTTCGTGTCGACTACAAATTGGTCAGTACCCATTAGTATCCATGAGGTCATCTTATCATACCTGCGGAGCTGCCCAGCATAAATTACAACATTGAGCATCAAAAGCATAGTCGATTTTAGTCGCTCCAAATTCCCAGCCACCGCATCCAAGCGGGGCTCATTCATCAAAAACCATATTTTGCGAGTTGCCCTTTCCATGCGAGACTTGGATGAAGTTTCTGGGTGCTGCTGCTCGATCTCACTCTCGAGGTCATTGAAAACCTTCTTGCATTCTTCCAACACATCCTGGGCAGTGGCGAAGGCATCTGGGGAATATAATGAAACCAGATCATCTTGTCTCAGACTGTCACCTAATTGGCGAAGTACACTACAGGTAAGTGCCACATCGTTCGACAAACTTCGTAGTGCCTTATCGGCATTCTTGAACTTGTGCGCGAAAGTGCATAGCTTGACTGAGAGGCGGCCACCAAGCTCGGCGACTTGAAGGGCCGCCGAAATGGTTCCTATAACCTCAGCCATCTCTGATATCCATGACTCCCTGCAAGTCGACCCTCTCTTGGCGTTTTGACGCTCTGGCTGGAGGGTGAGTGAGTGGTGGGTGCGAGTTGGCCCCGTTGCCCCTCTTTAAAGTCACGGCCCCCACGTCGCCGACAAATGTGAAATATCTCCGCACGGTCCCCTTCTTGTCACAAATGCCTATATTTAGGAGACATTGACGGTAGATTGACGGAGTCTATTAGGTTGATTATTGCAAAATTCGGCCAATAAATGTAGCAATAAGACCTATCGATATCCCAATGAACTAAATAAATTTGAATCTTATCATTTATATTAATCTCCTTTTGTGAATTTGATAACTATGTGGAACTTCAATGAGATAAAACAAGGCTAAGAGTACACTTTGCTCCCCCTCCCAGCGAGTAGCTCCACAAAGAAATCCCGGAAACTGAGTGGCGTGAAGTCTGGATAGAGCTCTCTGGCGTTAAGGTAACCCAAGTAGTCCGCATACTCAGGAGTATTATCCCGACGTACGTACTTGCTATGGTTGTAGTCAGCTACGTAAACGCCTCTGAGCTTCATAAAATCTTGAGGATCCTGAGCAAGTGCAGCTTTGGCTTGGTCAACGCTTGCCTTGATACGTTCGTTTGATTCCTAGAAAGCGCACTCGAGTAAGCATGAAAAGCCATGCTGTTGAAGAAATACGACTCACGACAATTGGCTCCAACTCCTCCCCAGAGAGTTCTTTTGCAATGCGGAAGATTTCGTTCTCGGAAAGAACATCCCCAGATGTGTAAATGTATTTGTTAAGGGTCCGATCATCGCGGATTATACGTGCGACAAAATGTCCGATATCGCGTAGATCGGTCAGAATATTAGGAGCCTCGCCATCGCCGTGGATAGTTTTGACGGGGAAAATCTGTGCGTAATCCACCTTGCCCGATGGAAGATACGGGTATGAGATTTGATACCAAAAGCCGACATCGATCACTGTATAGGGAATGCCCAAGAACTTGATGGCATTGTAGACCTCCTCTTTCTATTTTTTTGTTCGTTAGTCAACTTGGTCATTTTCATGGGTTCATTCTATGCATACCTCGTCACGGAGCCGCATAGCACCCTGTGGAGGTGCGACCGTGATGAAAGCGCACGGAACAATTCTTTTGACGCCTGCAAGCTTCGCGGATTGGAGGAGCTTCTTTTGCTGCAATAGGTCATTTGGCCCAATGGCACTGATGAGGGTATCGATGCCAGTCAGCGCAGTCACGAGCTCACTGGACTGGTCAAGATCTATGGACCAGATCTTAATACCCTGCTCTTGGAGCTTCTGGACCGCTGGCTTTTGCACGGAAGCAGGTCGCACTAGAACTTCCACTTCCTAATAATTATTATCAATAAAGCGACACAAAAGGAGAGACTACTTTTTAGCAAATTCAACTTACAAAGTTGCCAGATTCCAGCAGTCCATTCAAAATCGACCTCCCAGTCTCACCAGTAGCTCCAAGAAGGAGTACCCTCTGCTTAACGGACATTTTGGGAGTTGGAAAAGTGGTAAATTCCAGAAACCGAATAAAAGAAGGTAATCCTCGAAGCGGGAACGGGCAATTCTTTTATTGAAGTTGAAACTCAACTTCCGGTGGGAGGGGTGGGATATTTGTCATCGACTGCCTGATTTCCAAGCGTGGACTGGAAGGTTATGCATGCAATTATGCCATTAGGCATTATTCTTCGAGCTCATGTGCCAATAAGAATCTTCGTGACGAAATCGTTGACCCGCAGGGTTTTATTACCCCACATTAAAGAAGTGACACAAAAGCCACTGACGGCAGGCAATGCATAGTTCGAGTTCCTCATACAGATTGAAGGCAAAACCACACTGTAAACTCTCCGAGTTTTATTCACTCCTTTGCGTAGTCCTTTGCCAACTATACACACTAACCTTGACATGTTCAACTAGAAGAAAAGCCAACTATGTATGTCCATCCTGCCCCATAATCGCAATACTCTGCGCCAGATAATCCCAGTCTGGAAATTCCACCCAATTCAAATCCCAGTTATCCATGTCCAGAATAGTCTCACTCGGTAAATCGGCCGGAGCTGTCTGAATGGCACTTTCTTTCTCCGGTAAGCGCTCAGTAGAACTAGACGCAAGATGCGCACGTCGGACACGCGACGCCTTCGCCCGGAGCTGAATCAACATCGGCCATTTGGGGCCCGGGTCTGGCCAGGAGGGATCATTGTCTACTAAGTCGAAGTGCCTATTGACACTGTTCCAGGCGTGTTCATTGTGTGGGCCCGTTGGGTACACGCATAGGTGCCACAGGATGTAGGTGAGGAGGTGGAGTTGTGGGCATGTAGATGTTAGCCAGCGGAAGCCGCGGAGTAGATCGTCCGTAAACATCTCCAGTCCGAGGTCTAGAGCTCGAACTGCCATTTCGAGGAGTTCAGTTGCAGCTTCCGTGTCGACGGTTGAAGATGCGGCGCCTTGTTTTTGGAGTACTTTTTGCAGCATGTGGACCTCGAATTTGGAAACTAGCACCTGTGCTAGGATTACTCCTTGTCGCTGGATGGGTATGTCCATATCTGCGTATTTGAGGTATCGATTGTGAAGTCGTTCCTTTAGTTCTCTCAATAGCTGCTGCGACTGCGCTCCATCGGGAGAGTTGTCAGTAGACCGGGCGATCGGGATGAACATCTTGTTGACCTCGTTTATTATGAGCATAAAAGACGAATCGGTCCATCGCTGTTCGGATTCGACCGGTTTGGTGGTTTTTTCACTTATGCTCTGATCATCGATATTGGAGGGAAGTTTGGTGTCGCTGCCATAATCTTGCTCGGGGATTAAAATTCCGTGGTCTTCGGACATCCGGGAATCGGTAGAATATAGATCCCACCATATCCGTCGGCGAATCTCACATTCAAGAGGTGACAGCTTAAATTTTTCTCCATCGCGATGAAGCCCAATTGATTGTGCAGCACGGATAGTCAAGCCCCGTAGGGTGAACCCAGCTCGCCCACTGTTGCTGTAGCGTAAGCACCTCTAGTTGAGAAAGTTAGATCGGCAGATGGTATAAAAGGAGATTCGGCCATATTTACCAGATAAATAGACATTGCCTGCAATGAAGATATCGTGGGGGATTCCAAGAAAGAAGAGTTGTAGATACTGAGCTCGATGCCCTGTTGGTATCGCTGCAGATCTGCATGTATTTTCTCATTCATCGGGTCATCGCTCAACAGGGCAGTAGTAGCCGCAAAATAGACAGCAAATAGAAGGCAATGAATATCAGGCTTAACAGAATCAGGTCGGCTTATGGCTGCAAAGATACGCGGCGTCGTTGTGGGCACATGGAGCACTTTTATGACTGGTTCCACGCGAGCAAGGAAAGTCTGCCAGAGCTGCGTGGCCTGATATCGATTTGGATACAGAGCCTTGAAATCCAATTGTTTCAGTAGTGGATTGATTAGCATGCCATCCATTCTGAGAGGAGGGGGTTTTCGTAAACCACTGGTCGATGTACTCGGTGTTCCTATGGCAGACTGTAATTCATGTTCTTTCTCGAGTACTCGTGAAAGAAGCGGCTCGTCGATATAAGCACCATCCTTGATAAGAAAACCATAGTTTGAATTGGTTTCTCCGGATGGCTTGTGGTACGCCGAAGAGGCACGACCATTTGTCAAAGCCGAAGTCACCCCAGATGTGGGCGCAGCTCTAGGACGTGGCAGTTGTTGCTGCCATTGTGTTCTCGGCTGTTTTGCTTGCGCAGTGGACGAATTGCCAGCTAATGTCGCAATAGATCGTTCCAGTTGCTCCAAACGGGATACAACATTTGTGACACTCGTCTTCGGGGATTTTCGCTTGACTTTTCGAGGACCTGGATATTCACAGACTTCCCCTTGACGTATACATTTGCCGCATGGGGCTTTCTTGTCGCATCGGACTTTGCGTTCGTGGCAGCGTACGCAGGACCGCTCTACGTTGTAGCGGCGGATACCCTCCATTCAAGTTGGCTCATGTGATGAAGCAGATGAAACGAAAAGGTAGATTGTACTTTGGAAATAATATCAGAGCGAAAGTCGTCAATTGTCGGCGTTCGGCCGTTCGGCCATTCGGTCTTTCCCAATCCCGAGGCGATCCACCAATTAAAGCAGAAGGAGTGGGGCTACTACTATGTCAACAAAAGGGGTTTGTTACAGGAAAAAGAAAAGGAAAAAGGAAAGAGCAGAAAAGAAGAGGGGCAAAAGAAAGGAGGAGCTGGTTGCCAGCAGACGGAATTGAACTGTCAGCCTGGAAATTCAGAGATAAATTCTGAAAAAGGCAAAAAAGATAAGCCCGCAATTGAGCTTCTCCTATCCCGCATATGGACTTTGCCAGAGGAACCAATTGTTCCCCTAGACCATAAGGGTCTACGTGCCAAGATATTCACCATGCTATCACTCTCCTTGGGTGACCGATTCTGTGATTTATGAGGCTCTCTGTTCACGTCTCTCATTTCTCGCTGTACCTTTGTACTTGGCCACTTCCTCCATCTTTTCAAGTTGTGACCTCTGGAAAGTCCCGTGCTTCAAGAGAATCATGATTCGAAATTAGGAGTTGGTTATGGGAAAAGAGGACTAGGATGCATATTTCAATAGTAGATTACAATCATCTTCCAACGAATCCAAAATCTTTATTTCTAACTTGAAGTTACACAAACTGACCAGTATGACAATGTGGTATCATATATTTCATTCTGTACAAGCCAAGGTTCAAGACTAACAATAAGAAGGAAGACATGAACCCTTCTTTTTCTCTTATAATCCCAAGAGTTTGCCAAATTTATATCATAAAATACTAATAAGCAGAATATTATCGCAAAGTATCTATAAGCTCCCCCAAAAAACAGTGCGCAAAACGCTCAATGTTGACCCTCCCATCCGTAACTCCAATCCCGTAAAGTACCCAATTCGTTATGAAACAAAGACAGCATCCATTCATGAAATAAGAAGATCGCGAACACTCATGCCTTTTCTCCTTTGGGAATCCGATACCGCGTTGTGGTTCTCAGGCGCAGGACCAAGAGCCGTGCTGGCAGGGAAATGCTCGCTAATCGAGTCAGCGGTACCCCGGCGATCCCGCGTCAGCATAAGTAAAGCGGCTGAGGCCTCGTGATCAATACCCTGTAGGTCTTGCACTTTGTCCATAGAGTGATAGGAGGGGCCAAGTGCCGGGCTGGGCAAGATGGAAGGAATCTCGGATAATGTATGCACAGAAGGCAGACGGGTGCGAGGGGAGAAGGAGGGAGATACATCGCACATCTGCCCGCTTGGTGGTAGGATCTCAGGTGAACCAGATTCGGAGTATGAGTATACGGAAGATGGAGGGCGCTGCGGAGGCTGGTTGAAGGTTTCTACCCCCTCAGCAATGAACTCTGGTGATGGTGGTGATGGCGGTGCAGCGGTTTTGGTGGTACCGTCCGTCTTGATGTCCTGGATGATCTGCTCAAGGTAGTTGACATAGTCGATGCTGGCCTGTGAAATGATATGAGTATACTTCGAATCACACTTGAAGACGAATAAAAGTAGCCGATAAGCAACATACCTGAAGAATAGCCAGCTTGTGCATCTCCTGTCCCCGGCAGGCTGGGATCATGTCCTTCAATGTACCAAATTCCTCGTTCATCTTAGAACGGCGGCGTCTCTCAATCAAACTGTGGGCAGTCTTGCGGGCAATTTTGCGTCCTGCGGCACTTGTTGCACTTGGCTTCTTTTTGGAGGCCGGGCCAGACTGGGTGGTGGAATCGGCGGGCTGACCAGAGGTCTTGCCGTTCTCCTTGGGTTTGGTGGGAGACTTGGAGGCTGCTGGAGTCTTGGGTTTCATTTGAATGATCTTGCGAGTTCTTGTAGGCGGCGGAGGTAGGTCAAAGTCTTCCAAGGGACGTTTTGTAGCAGTGCCCGATCGTGAAGAAGTATGAGGGGGATTGCGGCCACGAGGGATCAGATCGGGCGAGGTTGGTGAGGCAGGCTCATATGAGGGATCTGAATGAGAAGAAGAACGACTATAGGAATCATCCTCGGGCGGACTGATAGCGGCGGGCGGAAGAGCAAAGACATCGGTGCCATCCATCGGCTTGTCCTTGATTGTCAGTTCACCGGACATGGCAGGTGTAGGAGGGAATCTTGAACGAGACATGGTGTATATAGAAGGGGGGAGGTGGGAGAGAAGAGACAAGAGACAAGAGACAAGAGACAGGCACAGAGTAACAGGGACAACAGGGACGACAGATTCCAGGCCAAGAGGAGGGGGCGACCCCTTGCCCTTGTACTTATATGTAGTCCTCCGCAATCGCCTCTCCCTCATCTCCCCGTAGCCAGTCTTTCCCACAGAAAGTGTCGCGTGCTTGCAGAGCCCACGAGTTGCAATGGTGGATGCTCATTGGATGTGGGGACAAGCTCGTGCCGCAGCGAGCAACGCGCATTTGCTGGACTGGCTGTGGGGCCTGAGCTTAACAAGTACCATATAATACTACTACCCCTACTAGTACTCTGTTACTCCAGGGATCCGGTAGTTCTGCACGTGCGCTTGCCAGGGCGAGTTGGTGGAAACCCAACGGGGGAGTCGGCGGGGAGCCCTGTACATGTGCAGTGGCAAATTGGTCACTCCCACCACTTCCTTTTCAGGCTCAGCTACACTGTCGCAATGGTCGATCTCAATCTCTCTCTTCCTATTGGATCTGAATTCAGATCCATCCTAACTCTGTTTCGTCACCAATTTTCCGTCTTTGCCCAATTTGAAGCAGATCCACTGAGTAGATCTGCTTAAGAGTCCCTTCCTCCTACAAGTGGGACGGGCTATCTACCTACTGTACTTTCCGATATCACCCTTTATTCCATGTGCCTTTCTCCTCTTTCATATCCATGGTTCGTCAAATTGAAATTCACATTGTATTCACTATATTGAGACTCGGCAATTTACAATTTCCGAGGACGACATCACAAACGCTAGAAACAACCCATAGATAACACCCAGAAATCAAACCACCAACTAATGTTTTCGTTACTCGCCCGGCCACAGGCCAACCCACTGAAACTTTGGAAATCAATCTTTCCCAAAGTATTCCTCTACTCAAAATCACTTGGGTGGCACTTGGATATGCACTGCTTGTACCCATTGTTGCTAGAATCCACAAATTAGCCTCTCGACCTTCAATACAAGACAATCTCGGAAACCTTCAACTTACCAGTACTCATCCTCATCCGGCATCGCAATCGTGCAAGTCTGTGACTCCAACGAGCACAACTCGTTACAGTGGTTGATATGCTTGATGTGGTTGGGAATATTCGAGTTCAGCGGAATATTGGCCTTTTGCGGACCATGCGACGCGTGAGGCACGTTACGGCCACTGCCGTTCTTGACCGTTGACACACCCGTTGTCAGTGCTCCCTTGGATTTGGTGGCGGTGCCAGTGGTGGTTGCGTTATTGGGAGCTGTACCATTCTTGGGCACATGCACTGAGATGCGGGCGCCGTGGTAGGGGCCGGCGAATCGGGGCAGGACAGCCGCATTGGCGGTCATGGCCAGGAGGCAGAGACCCAGAACGTTGGTGAGTTGCATTTTGGATAATAGTAGACAGGAGATCGGCTTTTGCAAGGGATAAATAATGTTGATAATCTAGGAGATTAACAATGCCAAGTGATGCGGGAGGATCAACTGTGTTGATATATAGATATGGGAATAGATCGTGGATTAAACCACTCGGATTATCGCTTTTATATAAATGTCCCCCTTCAATAAAAAGCCGCTGAGTGGCTGGGCGTTAGACTGGGGCAACTAAAAAAAGCCTCCTGGATTGTGCAGCTGTAACCAGGACTGCTCTATAGCAGGTGTCGATCCCTAGTTACGGCATTCCACATTCCAGACGGGGGCTGCTAAGCTTTTCAGCATGACGCATCGGGGTAAGACTTCATTTGAAGAGGCTGGGGAAGCTTATGAGGGTGAAGTATGTAATCCTTCTCAATTGGTTCCACCAGAAGCATTCGATGCATGGCTACGGTACGAAATTATGATGGAGAACAAGTATAGACCTGGCCGATCAAGCTCGGCACGGCCCCGCGCCACATTCCACATCGCGGATAATGTATTAGGATCCTATCACAGATCCCATGAGGAATTCTTGAAAATCTTAGTTCTGTTCGAAGGCCGGAACAAGAGTCACAGCACCTGGTGAGAGTGGGCCCTGCCAATATGACAGAAGCTCTGGCCAGATAAGCCGTATGATGCCCCAATAAGGCAATATCGTGTTAACAATTCCAGTTCAAGTTGTCATATATCTTAGACATCATTGGATTTATCGACTTCAAGTTACTGGTGGAGCCCTAGGCGGGCCAATAGTCGTTGTCATTGTGCCTACATTGCACTTGGATGAATTAAACTTCAACCCTATTTGCCACTAGGAGAGCTAAGGTCTCAGTACAGCATGAATGAAAACTTGAATATAATACATTTTTTCTTAACTAGCAGATACGCTATCCTAGCTATGAAAGGGCCGCTGAGGCGACCCGCTTTTCCGTTGCGGCTGCAAAATTATCGGTGTCGCTGAAACATCCCAAATAGCTCCTCAAGATTATGAGGTAACACAATCAAAGGCATACCAGTGGAACTCTGGATAAACCTCTCTATTCAACACTGCCAATGTCCAAGCATGAACACAATTGTGCATGGTCCAAGATGGTGAAGCTGGCATACTTCCCTCTATTCGTGTGACATCCAAAAAGCAAAACTCCACCAAGATCTCCATCAGATGCCGAATACGCCTATCTTCTGTCTTCATCTGGTGCTGCCAGTAGTCGGGTACATTCCCTCTTCCCGGCGGAATGAGCTCGTGTTGGACTTTCGGGTTATCAAAGTAGGCCAACCACACGAGTAATTTGGCCGCCTCCGGGGACGTTGATTTTAACCTTGTGAATGATTTGTTCCAGACCGTATGTAGCGTTTTGTTATACTCCGGGAGTCTCATGTAGTTGTAGGAATTGAAGATCCAATGGTCCTTATACTCCTTGAGATAGTATTCAAAGGTGCATTTATTGCGCCGGATGTAGGCCCCGGCTGTAGCCAGTGCTAAGGGAAGTCCCCCAAGCAGCTTGACAATCTCTTTCGCAGCTGGATCTAGAACGCTCTTAGCTGGGGCTTTTCATATGTTTGTCAGTGCACTAGGAATCATTCATACCTGTCGGACTGTTCGCTCGTTCAGATCGGGCTGCTAGGACCGCCAGACTACCCTCCTCATCCAGAGACCGCAAACAAAAGGAGATACCAGGCACAGAAGTCGGAGATTGAGTAGTGATCAAGATCGAGCCGTGGGCGCCCCCGGGAAAATAGTTGCTAATATCGAATTGATCAGGGTCATCATATTCATCGAATATCAATAGCCACCCTGTATTCTTCGGGTCCGATAACCACCGCAGTGTATGGTGTACGGCATCTTCGCTTTCCGGCATCTTTTTAAATATCCTTTTCGCGATTCGTCTAAAGCTCTCCTTCAGCTTCGACTTTGATGTTGCATTAAGCAGAAGAACCGAGTCGTAAGCCGGGGAGCCACGCTCACAATAGAGCTTTGCGTATGCGATAGCCAACTGGGTTTTCCCCAGGCCTCCCTTGCCATTAATTGTTAGACATTGCTGTCTTGGAGGCTTCTGAATTGGGCTCAAGATTCTTGTCATTTCCGCTAGTTCGTCGCCGCGGCCTTTGAAATAATTGGGATCGATACATGTTGTTTGGCTAAGGTTCATTCCGACGCTGTAGTGGAAGCTGAAATCAAGATCGGGTTGGTTTACTATTTATCGAATCAGCACCGACTTACTTAAAACTGCCATCGCAGTATTTATCTCAGTATTTAAAGCCGCGAAATTGATCCTCAATACTCACCGTAATTGTATTGCTGAATGCCACCAATATTTTGCTGTCCATAAATGTTGTTCTGAAGGCCATATGCCTGATTCTCACAGCGTAGTTCCACCTCTCTGCCATTATCAAAACATTTGGGGAAATTTTTTTTCTCGTTCCGTCTTCTTTTCCGGCCTTGTGGAATGAATTATATCGTTGTTGGCCAAATCCTCGACGTCCTGGAACATGTCCACTTCTCGGCTCATATCTTCGGATCCAGAGGTTGAATAGCATGTCGATGAGCGATTGCTTTCCCGGGGGATTATCCTCGCTATGAACTCTCGCAATGCACGAGACTTTTTGTCGCAAGCGTCAAACTTCTTACTCAAATCCCAATAAATGTTTTCCGGCAAAGCATCATTTGAGGTGCTTTTGGAATTGCGGGCTGTTTCGCGAGTCATTACCATCGACCCGTCAAGTGTTCCCCAAAGGTTTCCAGCTACTTTGAGATAATCGTAAGCTCGTTGGTAATTCTGGAGCGATTGGTCCAATAGCGTGCCGACTGTGGAAAAAACGCCGACATTTTCGATGCCTGGCATGGTCGCCCGGGTGGGGATGCGAAAGATCAACTTTCGCGACGAAGACCTAAAGAAAGAAAGAAAGAAAATAGGAAGGAAAGAAAACAGGCGATAGCTTTAAAAGATTGCGACAGTCAAACAATGCTTTGTGTAGTGGCTGGGGAAAATGGAGGCGCCGAATAACTTATATGGAGTACTAGTCAGCGCATCATGCAACTGATCAGCAATCTCAAAACAAGACATTGTTTTGATCCAGCGATACGGTCTGACTATCAGCGCTAAGGCGAGGTGTGACGAAACGTCCCAAAATGGCCATGCTGCAGATCTTCCCAGTGGTTGGCCTGGTTGATGTCGTGCCGGGCCAATCATCTTGGGGGACATAGCGCGCGGCTATACAGACAAGGATTATTTTTAGGATTATCCACACCCCAGAAAAAGAACGATGCAGGCTGTCATCCTGAAGAAAAAAGGTGGAGTGATTTCATCTGCCCAGGGGCATAAGAGCTACCTAGACTAGGCAAGTTTGGTATCTTCGATTCGGATCCACGCCATTGGATACTTGTCCCGTGGCCCTTTCATGCCAGGCGCTTCTGGTAGTTCTACGGTATAGCATATGCCAATAAATTGATCAGACATGATTATATTCATTCATCCATCTATATCATCAACTCTATAATCATAAATAATCTAACCAAAAAGCTTGTCCATAATGATCTGGCCAAAGTTAGATTCCGCAGGCGATTGGTCCATCCGATAGATACGGTTGCCAGCGCGAGCACTCAACCACAAACCATGGTCGCTCGAGCTCTCCTCTTCACCCTCGATACGGTGACGATTACGACGATCAACGACACACATACCACGGGTCCATTGGCCAGTCGTTTCGACGCGAATATCTTCAGGCGAGTTGGGTGCGGGCGCCCAGCGCGAATCCTCGGCCGTCAAGGCATACCAGACGCAGACAGGGTCGTGCAGACTCAATTGAGCATCGTCACCAACATGGCCCGGGTGCAGACGTTCCAAGGTACGGAACGTGTGTCCCATGAACGCATTGACCCATTCCGCGAGGGGAGAACCCTTCTCAAGGAGCGGGGCGACAGCAGTGCGGAACTGACCACGGGAGATGTTGTGGCGCAGAGTGATGTCCAGCGGGAAGAGGCGCAGCGTCAATTGCTTGCTCAACTTAGCTGGGTATGGAGGTAGCTGTGAAGTGGTTGAGGGGGGCAGAGTTGAGTTCGGGTTGGGCGATGTAAGAGCGTAGACCCGGGCAGCGGCGAAAGCATCTGCGTAGGCATTGAACTCGCCAACTGGAGTCACCTGCAGAATTTGATTAGGTCAATTCGGAACCTGCATTGGTGACGCAGTGCGGGGCGTAAGGGGGGAAATGTTGGAAAGTGAACTAACATTGCCGGGTTCGTTGACGGCACCACCCATTACAACCACCTCCTTCACACGGAGGAAAATCTCTGGGTCTTCGGCCGCTGCAAGTGCCAGGTTTGTGAGCGGGCCGACAGCCACCAAAGTGATTGAATCCGGTTCATTCTCGCGTAGTGCACGGAGGATCTCCTTGTGCGCGGGGATCTTGGATGGGATGAACGAATGATCCCCCGAGCAGTTGTCCGCATCCGCGGATTGAATACCGTGGGAGTCACGGACGGGGTCGAAGAGATGCGCCCACTCATGGTTGGGAGTGAGATGCGGGTGCTATGCAGCAACAATCAGCTGGTTTTGTTCTGGTAATGGAGAGGTGATTTCAGACATACGCTAGCATGGATACCTCCGAGTCCATCGGTACCATCTGCGGGGTAATGATTAACCAAAGTACCGTATGCAGGTGAAAGAGGGGGAAGGAAAAGAGAATGTACGGAAATAGTCTGCCAACATCTTCTGGTCCTCGAGAGGATCTTCGGCGCCCACAGCTACAATAGGGCGCGAGGCGCGCATTGCACCGAAGCCCTCGGGGCGTCCATTCTCGCGACGCCACTGGGCCTCGCGTTCGAGGATGTGGAACATGGACACCACATTGCGAAGACAGCTAATGAAATGATCAGGACGAGTTGTGATTAGAGGAAGAGGGTCAATTATGGCTCACTTTTGGACTTCGATGTTACCAAAGGTCAAAGAAATCAGCAAGACCTCGACTTCCTCAGGCTTGGCGGACAGAGCTAGCAGCAGAGCGAGGATGTCGTCGATACCCTGGTTATTGTGAGCAGAGGTGTACTATGTGTGACATTGGAAACATAAGACCTACCGGATCGGTATCGATAATGATTTTCTTTGCCATTGTGAAGGTGGATGATGAAGGGGTGGGATATAAATGGGAAGTTGTTGAAGTTAAAGATAAATTGATTGATTGACCTTTGGTAGTAAAGGTAACCTCAGGAACTAATCTGCTGCGGCTTGGCCCGGGGCTCTCATCCGCCTCAAGGACAACACTATAGTAACTACTACATACATCCAGTAGTCAACTACCAGTAGTTAACCTAGGTACAGAGATACTTGGATTACTATGTAGTTTACCATAATATGTACTCCATACTCCATACTCCATACTATCTCCTATTTGACCATCTCCCGGCGCGGCAGATGACCGGGTTTACCTTCCGGCCCCTCGTGGCGGGCGTGAAGCCGTCTGCAAGGGATGGCGCCGAGTCCCTGCCGGATCGACGCGCATCTTGAACACTTGGCTGGCCACGCCCAGACGGTCCTTGCAACCAAACACACTAGTCAGGGAGGGGGGGAGTTCCACCGTGGAGGTGGAAAGGTGGAAATGAGATCCCCGACCTCTGGACTCTGGAGGAGACGTGGCCTGTTCGCAAGACAGACAGCTCTCTCCACAGGAGAAACTAGAGAAACCAATTCCATCTCAGGAGTCTGGTGGTATTGTACGGGGTAATCTGAATACCACATCCCATTGCTTATCGTATACAGTGTCTATGTGATGCTGGCTTACTGCAATAAGATTGTAGTACTTGACTCTCACCTCAGGTTCAGAATTTCCAGATTATACTTGCACAAACCGTTGTCTGTGAAACACTGTCTTTAATTCATCTCAACATAATGCACTTCAAGTTGACTCTGTGTACTTTGTGTACTTTGTGTACTTTGTGTACAATCACGAGGGGAAATGGTGTGCCCGTACTGTCACCAAATTACCGTATCGTACCGGAGATTCAAGGTGGCCTCTTCCAACCGTCCTTTTTTCTCCTAGACTTCTCTCCTGTCTCTTCCTTTGCGACGCTTTTTCCTTTTCCTTTTCCTTCGTTTAACGCCTTCATTCACGCCATCAATTGGATCTTTCCATTGATTTCTCTATCCTGTGTTCAGGCTGTTTTGCCTCGCCTCTTCCCCCGTCCTCCCCCGTCTCCGTCGTCCGAGCGCAACCCCCCCATCGCGCCCCCGGATCAACCCTCCTCAACGACGCATCATCTCATCACCATCACCCGCGGACCTGATTTCAGCAATCACGTCCCTTCGGATCTCTGCTTCTCCTTAGTCTTGGTCTCTTGAGCTCCGGACAGCCTCGAAGTGAACCAATTTCTTTGAGAACCTTGACAGATGCGTGGTCTCGGTCTCGCCCTTTAAACCCCCGATCTTCTCCCTCGACCATCTCCCCCTCTTCGGTCTTACAGTTGCGCGTGTCGACCTAATTGTGCGCGTGCGCAATTGTCACACCCCTTGAACCAAGTTCTCCCCGGTCAATCATTTCTACAACCACAACCATTTCACCTCGAAAGGCCCATCAATAGTACGTTCCTGAAAACACCGGTAGATTCAGAAAATTGGACCGGTGGAAAAACAATTGGATGGAAGAAACTGACCTGTTTCGTCTGTAATAGCTCGATGACCATGAATCCCTATCTTAGCTGGGCCATCCTACTGGTCGTGGCTGGTGGTCTCGGGTGGTACTACACTAACGGTGCGGCCCCGAAAGCCAAAGCCCCCATCCCGGCACCTCTTGAGAAGGCTCAGGTGGCTCCCAAGAAGCCTAAGCGCAAGACCAAGCCCTCCGAACCCACCCCGGCAAAGAAGCCCAAGGTGAAGACTGTCATCTCTCCTCCAACCACCGAGGATGAGCAGCCCGAGGAGGAGATCGACCCCCGGGAGATGGCCCGTCGCCAGACTGCTATCAAGAACGGTATCCCCCAGACCGCCGCCTCCAGCACCAAGAACAAGAAGAAGAAGCAGCAGAAGAAGGCTGCCCAGCTCGAGGTTGGCTCTCACGCCTCTTCGACCACCGGCGCTGAGGCCGATGATGATCTTTCTCCCGCTGTCTCCCCTCAGGTCAACGCTACCGTTCCCTCCGCTGGTGATGTCGATGACATGATTGAGACCCCCGCCGCTGCCGCTGCCGCCAAGGTCCTCCGTGTTACTGGTGACCTGCCCGCCCAGACCGAGAAGAAGGCCAAGAAGGAGGCTGTTCCCGAGAAGAACAAGAAGGCGCGTGCCCACCAGCGCAAGAACGAGGAGCGCAAGGAACAAGCGCGTCTGGATGAACAGGACCGCCAGAAGAAGCTGGAGCAGCACCGCCGGAACAATCCTGAGCTCCAGGCAACCTGGTCCCAGTCCCACGCCAACAACGCCTGGGAGAACAAGGCCGCGACCAACGGTGTTTCCAAGCCCGCCCCTGCCCCCGCTGCTAGCAATGTCCAGCTTCTGGACACCTTCACCCCCCAGGCTGCTGCGAGCACCAATGAGTGGGAGCAGGGTCTTCCCACTGAGGAAGTCCAAGAACAGATGGCCAAGGCCGCTGGTGCCGACGACGCATGGACCCAGGTTAAGACCAAGAAGGGCGGTAACAAGAAGGGCGGCAAGACTGACGAGAGTGTCAGCGAGACCAGCGCCTCCGAGGCCAAGCCTGCCCCAGTCACTTCTGCCCCGGCTCCTGTCAAGCCTCGGGTCACCATCACCCCAACCTACCTCCCCGACCTGCGCTCCCGCGAGAAGGGTCACCCTCTGGACTCGGATTGGGCAGCTTGATTGACTGATCCCCCCCCCTCTCTTTCTCCCTCTGATCTTCACCATCGATCCCGCCGCATATGCCAATCCTCCCTTTCACTGTGACTTGTACTTATTATCTCCCCCTTGATTATGGCTTTGGCGTTTCGGTTGTGTCCCCATAATACCAGCATCCTTCCCTCTGCTCGACAGAGAGAAGAGACAGCGCGCGCAAAATGCGAGCTCCTTCCACGGGGGACTCGCGAGAAACAAAACCCAATGGGCCTGTGTTTTTAGCTCAAAACGTGTACTTTTTTCTCTCTTCTTTTCTCTTCTTTTTTGGTCCCTCTCTCTCTCCTTCCCTCCCTCTCTTTCTAAATTCAATGGAAAGCATCGAGCAATTAAGCAATTGGAAACCAACCACAAACGTTGTTTACGGACAAGTGTGAAGAGTAGTTTAAAACCAAACCCCCCCAATCAGGCCTCCCAAAAATGAGTAGGTTCAAATTGTCTATAAATAATATCAATAATCTCAATAATATAAAAATACCAAGTTTCGTTCCAGGGTGAACACGACTGTCGTCACCTTACCTAAACCGGACTAGCGTTGAGTTCCGGGCAGCGTGGCCTGAAGAGGACCGCTTTGTATGATCGGCTCCACCCATTATTTACCTTCTCCGAGTCTCCTCCTCTCTTCCTTCAACCTCGAATCCCTCGATCTTCCCCTCCCCCAACCTTCTCAACTCCAGCTCCCTCACCATCCACTCTCCCTCATTCGCCATGGCCCAAATCCGTGGCACTGCGGGCTACAACCTCGGCCACCAGAACCCTTTCGGTGGGCCCGGCAGCGCAGATGCCACCAGCGATCCTAGCCCGCTCGATGCGATTCGCGAGCAGACCAGCAAGATCGAGGACTGGCTCGACACCATGGCCGACCCCGTCAAGCCGTACGTTGCACCTTCAACCCATTGGATACAGCTTGTGGTGGCCGCTAGCCGTTGCAAGCTACTACCCGCCACCGTTATCCGGGGTCGCCCCCAACCCCAAAACAAGGGATCTTCAAGCATGCCACTGACACGGTGTTCTCTTTTGCAGGTATCTTCCCGCGATCGGCCGTTTTCTCATCGTTGTGACCTTCATTGAGGACTCACTGCGCATTCTCACACAATGGAGCGACCAGCTCCTCTACCTGCATGATTTCCGGAGCAGTAAGAGAGACCCTTGCCCACACACACCTCCCCCTCTCCGCACCAGCCGAGGAAGGGCGCTAGCTCAACCCCGACCAAACCACAAGGAAAAACAACAAAAAATTGGCAAAAAGATACGGCTCTTCTAACTCGGTTTTCTTTTTGTAACCTCTTAGTTCCCTGGGGAATCACACACCTCTTCCTCATCGTCAATGTCATCGCCATGTCCGTCTGCTCCACCCTCGTCATCGCTCGCAAGCGCACCGAGTTTGCTGTCGCCGGACTACTAGCTGTGGTCGTCACTCAGGGTCTCGGATATGGCCTCATTTTCGACCTGAACTTCTTCCTCCGCAACCTGAGTGTCGTCGGCGGTCTGCTCATGGTTATCTCCGACTCCTGGGTTCGCAAGAAGTTCGTTCCGGCCGGTCTGCCCCAGCTTGACGAGAAGGACCGTAAGATGTATGTGCAGTTCGCCGGGCGCGTGCTGCTCATCTTCCTCTTCATCGGATTCGTCTTCGCTGGTGCATGGAGCTTCTGGCGTGTCCTTGTTAGTCTGTTTGGTCTTGTCGCTTGCGTGATGGTCGTTGTTGGCTTCAAGGCTAAGTGGAGTGCTATTATCTTGGTGGTTTTGCTGAGTGTCTTCAATATTTTGGTTAACAACTTCTGGACGGTATGTTTCTTCACTCTTGAATCGCGGTTTTTTGTTCAATTGACTAAATATTGTTACTAGCTTCACCCCCACCACCCCCACAAGGACTTCGCCAAGTACGACTTCTTCCAGATTCTGTCGATTGTGTAGGTTTCCTTCTCTCTCCCCTCGCTAGCCTTTTGTCACTTGCTAATAAATCCCAGTGGTGGTCTGCTCCTCCTGGTCAACATGGGTCCTGGTCAATTGAGCATGGACGAGAAGAAGAAGGTCTACTAGAGAAAGAGAGTAGAGCAAGACGACCCGCTCCTCTATATACCCCGTGACTTTTACAACCAATTGACAAGCATGGTCCAACCAAACGGAAATGGGTGTGGAATTTTGGAGGAAACCCGCCGGTCCGACCCCTTTGTCCTAAAACAACACATACCGACCTTGTTTCTAGACATTCCCCGCAACGGGCATGCATCTAGTAAAAGTTCCGTTCTCTCTTGTCTATTCTGTCTTGGCCGCAAGAAGACTATTACTATAACCACTAGTAACTAGCCTCTTCTATTCATGCGCACGCTCGTCTTGGTCCCTCTATTCTTCAACATTGGTTTTTTCCTTTCCTCATTTTCTTCAAATTTCCTCCCTCGTCTTATCTAACATGCCTTGAAGGATGGATATCTATCCACAAAAATCCTGTTTCCCGGCCTCTATTTTCTGCTTTTTCTCTCCGAGTTCTTTTTCAGATTCAGCAAAAAGATCATGTCTGCATGCAATGCTTTCTTAAAAGGGGTTCTTTGTTTTTTTCTTATTATCTTTATTTTTTCACGAATGACAAGTTGCATTGAAGTCATGACTTGGAGTCATCAGTTCGGCTTTCATTGGGGTTTTTGAATTTCGATATGCGTGCATGAGATTATTTGTAGATGCCTAGGTCCGAACGTAGTTCAAGGTTCACATGGCGTTGAGCTAGTACATATGATGGTGCACGGATGCGAACCTAGTCCACTCCGTACAGAGTAGATGCGTCCATGGATGATGCTGCTTTGTCCATGTTGCTGTCTGTGCCCTGTCTTTAAGTTGTATGTATATAGACCTCGGCTCAGATGAACCTCTGGGTGGCGACTCAGGCGCCCAGGTGGTGCCAATAGTATCCAACTGAAATAATATATGAATGTTCCCACGTGTGCCTAGTAGTACCACCTTATAAGTGAGGAAGAAATTGGAAGTCGTCTTGTACCCACGCTCCGAGTCCTTCAAGCATTCAAGTTCAAATTGCCCTCGGGCTATGAACTCCGCCTCTACTAGTAATCGGGTCCGCTAGTAGATACTACTAGTAGCCCTATGGCAGCAGCTGCCAGTGATACCCAGGTGACTGTGGAGGAAAATACGTGCTGTGTACTAAATTAATCTCGGAACTTGAACATATAATCGTATTCATTTTATACTAGTATTATACCATTTCGGCTTGGCAGAGCTACTAGTATATAAATCCAACTCCCTAATTAACGGTCTTCGGCTTTGTGCAGAGAAGGTCATCACCCCTATTCTCGTTCTCATCGTCGGTGATGAGACTTGAAGGGGCAGCAGACAGGTCGGGAGTCGGCTCTGATTTTGCGGCAGCTTTCCTCGAATTCGGCAGTATTCTGCGCACTCGCAGCTGTTCGTCAAGGCAGGTCAGCAAGAGTTGGTCCATATTGAACATATTTTTGGTGATTAGGGCATTATCTTACGGGCCATGCAGACCTTGTAAGGCAAACGTTCGCTAGTCCACGGCATGTTGTAGCAGCATGCGGCGGTAGGCTGAAAAGGGTTGTCATCGCTGTACCAAGGGCAGACAGGAGATTCGGTGTGGTCGCGCTCGGCGAGGGAAGTAGGCTGGGCAAGGGCAATTCCAGCGGAGGCGGCAAGAAGAAGAATAGAAGCCTTCATTTTGAAAAATTGGATAATACTGGAACTTGAACTTGAACGTGGATAGATGGTGTTTGTTTGAAATAGCAAATGCGAGTTCAGAGTAATATTTATACCTGAGATCTATCCGATGAACCCGATATGGGTGATCTCTTTCCCAGGTCCTTATGTAGATCTACGGAGCAATCGAGGATCTACTGACCTGTAGTTTGAATCTGCGATGGGCGGGTGGTTCATCCTTGATCTCTTTTGTCAACAAAATTCTACTAGTCTGTACATAGTCTGTAAATCATTGCCCTTTTTACTAAACTTTCAGATAGCATTATGTCAATTATTCCATAGTTCTCCGCTCCATTCCTCCGATCTGCAGCTATGTAGTATATAACGAGCATCATACTCGTAGACCGCTTGTAGATGGGCACCACAGCTTAAAACCCCAGCAATCACAACCTCAGCCCGCACCCAGAGAACTGTCAGTACCCCACCACAGCTGAAAACTATTACGAACCGTGGGGAACCATCAAACCCACTCAACCCCACTTATGTACAAGCCGCGATGAACCATTAAAAACCATCCAAACGTTCAACAGCTCTGAACTTGAAGACTCCTGGACGTGAAAGCGTCAAAAACAGTCCTAACGTAACCCTTAAGCGAGCCGATCACCCCAGTAAATCATCACTGGCAACTTAAACTTTCCAAGGTTAATTGAATCTTATTCCACCATAACACCATGCGATATATATAGTATACGGACAAAACAAACCTTGGAATCTAGTATGGAGGGACAAGGACCTCGGGATGGTTTGATTTCGATGACATGGTGCTACTGACATGACGACTAATATCTTGGTAACTAAACTCATAAACTGGCGTCAAATGTAGCCCCTTTTGGGGTGCAATTTACCACCACTAGCCTTGGGGTGTAAAAAAGGCGCCAATAACAGAAATCATCTGTTTGACAGATACAAGTATGTACATGCCTTTCAATGATAAGACACCTTAGTAACATATGTCTTAGTAGTAGCAGTCTTGCTCGTCCATAGCCTCATTACACAATCTATCTGCAATCCCATTTTTCTCCCTCGGAATCCAGAGAAACTGCACATCTCCCTCCGCCCTCAATCTCTGATCAAGATCCGATGCTTGCTCCAAGAGATCTCGATTCGCAACATCGTGACCCGCATAATTAACCCAGCCATTCCTAGTCCATTTATAAATCCATTTTGTCATACAGTCAACCCCATATCTCGAATCAGAGTAGATTGCCACATCAAGCCATGGGCTGCTGTTAAGATTGTCAAACAAATCTAGGGCTTTCTCTAAAGCCAGGACAATAGCTTCGATTCCGGCACGCTCGTTTGTCGGCGTAGGATATGAGGCTAGTGACATCTTCCAGCTCTTGTAGTCGCCGTCTTCTGTCTCAAAAACGGCGGCAGCGGCTCCAATTGCCCCTGATGTTCCATTGCCTTTACACCCGGCATCGGTATAGAATTTAATGACGTAGGCCATGTTGCTGAAAAGGCTGCAGATCTTCAGTGTGGAATTAAGAGGTGTGGCTGCGCTCTGTATCGTGTATGCGTATGTGTTAGGTAGCTCTGACGTATGTGTTAGGTAGCTCTGTGGTTATGGTCAGCTAATTTGTACATAGAAAGTCTTCAAAGGGCCTCTATTGCTTACGATACTGCCAGTGGTTATTTACATCACGAATGATCCGGCAGGTACTTGAATATATATAGGGAAGTAAGAGTAGGATTTCACATGCCGTTGAACCCTTGGAGAAGTAGGATACATTGGCAACAGCAGTGCTAAATCAATGCTGGGTAGTTCGCCTATCTCGCAGCCGTGGTGGAGCCGACTTCAGGCGTCAGGGACAATGACTTATTGAAGATCCATGTATCGTACCGTAAGCTTTTATTTGGAGGAAGTAGAAGGAGGGAAGAAAGATCTGGTAGAGTTAGTAGTTCCGGCCTGATAGTTATGAATAAAAGGATGAAAACAAAGCTACGTACCAAGTACATATGCAAGGTAACAGACCAATCAGAATAGAGATTTCCGCATTGGTCACATGATACTAGTACTCTCCACCAACAACAAACCTACTCCAAGTCCCTAGTACATACGACTGGTACATACTCCGTGAAGCGCTAGAAGGTGCAGGCTGCACACCGTGTGCCTGGTTTCGCGGCAATTGCGGCAATCGGTAGGTGGAGGACACTGGCATCTGACACCAAAAATTCACGTGGCTCTCAGGCTCTCATTACCAATACTACTACTGAAAGGACCATATAGTTATAGGTTTATATACTCAATGCTAGTATTTAGCGATAGAAAATTAATTACCAGGCTTCAAGTTCAAAAATCAAATGGATCATCATGCTATGTATGCGCTATGTATGTAACGGGAACAGTGGATGATTATTATGTTACAAGAAAGAAAAAAAGTCTGTAAGGATAGTCAAGGAGGGTGATGAGAAGGGGAAAGAGAAGGAGAAACTGAGGAGAAAAGAAAATTTCAATCAAAAAAGGGGTTCTTTCTCAATGACCCTGCGCAGTGTACTTCAAGTAAGTGTGAAAAGGAGAGAGAAAAAGCTGAAGGAGGGTACGGTGGCAAGGAATGATGTAGGTGAAGTAGTAGGGGGGGCAGTTGGTTGTTCGCTGGAACAAAGCCAGTGCCCCCGCGCGAACCCGTTCGCTGTGATGCTTTCGAGGTTGCTTTTTTCTTGCTGTTCATTGTTCGCTGATTCGGGGCCATTTTTGGTCCTGCCATACTTTGTGTCCCTTGAGTTGAGGTGGAAAATGTCGCGTGCGTGGGGGTGGCGACTTGAAGTGAAAAAAGGATGAAGAACGCTTGCTGCGCTTTTTTGCTCCAAACGCCGTAAGATAAAATCAGAGTAAAGAAGATGGTGAAATGTGGTGAAAGCGCGCGAGACGAGGTTGCGGCGATGATGGTGTGGTGGTAGAGGTTGAGGGAGAGGGATAAAAGGGTGAGTTGATGAGGTGAAGACCGTTAGATGTCCATACTCCAGCGCCATGGGCGAATAGGTTCTAGTTGTCCAAGTCCGACTTCCTCGCGGGTGTCGTCATTGATTTCCAGCTGTAGGCATTGAAACTTTTGTTTGTCCCCGCGTTGAATAGTGGAAAGGGTCTTGGAGATTTGCGGACGGGCATAAACCTTTTCGCTGCCATCAGTAGACTTGGAAGCCGGTCGAGTACCAGGTGTATCTGGATATTTCCACGAGGTGGTGAAGGACTGGTCGTCCGAGTTGGCTAGGGAGGACATGGAGTCCGCTCGAGAAAAAGGAGGTTCGTCCAATTCCTCGCTGGTTTTAGAGTGTCCACGCCCGCGAGATGCGGATGGCCGGCGCGGTAATTGGTCGACGGTCTCGTCGATGGTTCTATCGGCAGGCCCCGATCGGTTTTCTTCAATTAAAGGGCCCTGTCTGGACATACGGGAGGTACGGTCCCGGGCGAAGCCACCCGTACTGTCGCGAGGGGAAGTAGGGAAACGTTCCTTGCCGGCCATTACTTTCGCGCTGGGTGGTGGTTGGAGCATCCATCTTGTATCGGCACGGCTGATTGGCCCACTTACAATCGGCGGATGAATGTCGTTGATAGGGGCAGGCCGAGGCATGTAGTATTTGGAAGGTTCTTCCTGAATCGCACGACCACGTCCTGAGAAGCCAATCGACGACCCGCGTACTTCCTGGCCCCAGTCTGAATCATAATCCTGACCCCAAAGGGGTTCGTCCTCGCGTTGGTACCGCTTCCATCGTTCCGCAATTGGGTGCATCAAGCCGCCACTTTTGTCCTTCTTCAGTTGCGAACTCTGATCCGTATTCCAGCTATCGGTCCGAGGAATCTTGCGGTGTCGTCGGGCTGGAGGTCCGGGGCCCAGGGCGATTTCTTGATCCCAACCTTCATTGGTGCTGAACGGGGTCGGCTGCGGGAAGAGACGGGGTTGGTCGGTGACGATGTCGGGGTCGTGCTTTTCCTTTAGACGCTGGGTTCGTACGGCATCCTTTCTGCGCTTTCGCCGGTCAATGCCCTCGGCGCAGGGGGTGCAGGTGGCATAGTAGAAGACCGCGGACTGCGCACCCCGGTAGAGCCACATGGCCGACGTGGGGGAGCGATTGCCCTAGATAATCGTTTTTTTTTTTGGTGAATTTTGTTTCGATTGATTGATATTTTTTTTTGTCTGAGTCCTTGCAGAGTCTAGCCACACGTTCACGAAGGGCTGTTTGTTCGGGGAGACAGGTGAATCTGACCCGATATTGGTTGAGTGCTCCTTGCCAAAAGAATCCACATGAAGGGCTGGTGTGGAGCGGGCGGATCAGGGGTAAAGGAACAGCGCGGAGGTGATCGCCGGAGAGACGATTGAGGAACCCAACGACCAGCGAAGGGAGGGAAAGATAGGGTTAAAAAGAGGGAGAGGGAGGGAGAGAAGATGAGAGAGAGAATAGGATGAAACGGGTGAAACGGGGGTGGTCAGGAGTTGAGAGGGCGAGAGGGTGAGTGGGTGAGTGGGCGAGTGAGAGGGGGGGAAAATGGGGCGGCAACGTTCCAAAGCGGCTGTCACCCTTTTCTGTTTCTGTTTCTGCCTGCCGTCTGGACTAACTTTGGGGTACTGACGAGTAGAGTCCTTACTCCGTACATATTATGTACTCCTCTTCTCTTATTCTTACTCAGTATTCATACATAGACTGGTCTGGTCTTCCTTTCCCTCTCCGACCTCTCACATTACTGAGTTGTCCTGCATACCTCAATGCTGACCGCATCTCCTAACCCTCTGGGCGTACACTAGCCACTAAGTACGGAGTAGTCTACGAGTAATCTAATTTAATACCTGCCCATCCCGCGCCAAGCCCCGCCGCGCGCTACTGTACGATGCGATCGGGCAACAAGCCTGTACTTTACACGAAGGGAGGCCGGATCTCAATCCCTGAATCCCTGTTCTAGTACAACGTACAATTCAGCCTTGGGTTGTGATTTAATTGGATTTTTTCTTTATATTTTTGATTGGCACGGTCCCAAGTATACGGAGTATACCATTCCAGTTCCACCGGGGCTGTGGCGGCGGGAAATAGCGAACCCACCGGAGAAGGGGGCTGGTCAGGTCAATGCCATGCGGAGTAATCATAATGCAAGATATCTACTGTACTCGTAGTTCATATTGTGATGTAGAAAAAGACCCTTGCCCCGCTCGGGAGGCGAAGAGCGTAATGTAATGATTTGTTCCCCTAGACCCTTGTCCAAGCACAACCACAACCCCGCTGCCCATCCGGGTTCGTGCCCAAAGTACATACTCGTATGCGCCGGTGATCCCCATGCGGCCAACCGCGACACGGCCGAGCTTTTGTAGACAATTCAAAGAACCCCACACGTGTGTAGTCGTCAAGATGTCTCGGAGAAGCAATTGCATCATTGAGGAGGCAAGGGAGGCATTCGCCTAGCATTGCCCAGCACGCCGCATGTGTCCCATTGGTATGTGTAATCGAAAATGGTGACTTGGCCGGGCTGAAAGATGCTGCTCTGGTCCAGGTCCAGGTCCAGGTCCAGGTCCAGTCCCAGCTCCGATCTGATCATGGCTGGCTTCTAAGTTGTCAACTGCCATTATAGCCGGTTGTCGTTTTTTCCATTTCCATCTCCCCATCCCCTATGCAAGCAAAAAATAAAGATGAACCTCAAAATTCCCCAGACCACCAACGCCCGAAACTCTCGATAAAAAAAGGTAGTCAAAAAAAAGTGTTGCCTATGCAAAATTGGGCTCATGCATTCTTCGTGTCTCGGATCACTTCTCCCTTCACCTTTGTCCAGTCGATCTCCCCGTCAATCTTCTCATCAACCTCGCCGCAAATAACCACGTTGTCGCCGCGAATCAAATAGAGCCCATGCTCAACTTGCGAAGATGGCTCGTCGTCATCTGAAGTCCGGATAATGCGCTCCACGGTTTCGGTGAGGACGAGGTTGGTCATTTGGTCCGTTGAAAGAAGTGTTCCGAGAAGTGTGCGACCATCCACGGTGAGGATTAGAACTTTCTCTGTAACAGGGAGACCATATTAGTATATTAATCGAGGCAAGCATTGCTGGACCTTGTACTGCGGGGACTTACTATCAATGTAATGTTGAAGAGACATGCTGGGCGAGATGACACGCTGGTGTATAGATCTTTGCGCTGGTTGTAATGAGCAGGCTCTTTGATTTTAGAATTTTGAGCCGATGTAGCAGATTCGCCTGTCAATCTGCAAGAGGCAGACTTTCCTTTCGCAGATTCCCGCACGAGGTCGGGTTGTTTCGACGCTGGGCTCTTGGACAAACAAAACTGGTGCTTGGCGGGAGAGTAAAACGAAATGACTGAGCCGTTGAGAAGAAACGTGTACGCGAGCTTGATCGGCGCTGGGAAATAGCTGTCGGTGATTGTTGGGCAAGCAGGCAGCCAGGAGCTCTCGATAGAAGTTCTCGGGCCGTTTAGGATCGCTGACGAGGGTTCGGAGTGAGGTTGGTGCGGTGAG